CAAATGCTGATTATTAGTAACTCAAACCCCTTTATCTAAACCTTTCAACCTTTGGTCGTGCACATCCTCCATGTTTGTAGTTTTTTTAACGTTTTATGTGTTTGTAGTTCTGAACTGAATCCTTGGCCAAAGCGCAATGGATTGTGGGCAATATTACCCATTAGAGTGTGCACAGATCCACACTTCAAAAATCTACCTGAAATAGTAGACGATCCGGGGACTTTTGGCAAACTATTTTCAACATACTACGCTTTGGGACACACTTATTCTAATCTCACTTACTATTTAGGATGGATAGTATGAACATTGGGACGCAGGGTCTTTTTTTCCTGGTTAGCATGGCAGTTAAGACTCTGCTGGTAGATGCTGTTACTACACAATTTGGTTCTAACAAGCATTTCTAAAAATTATTATTTATTTTTTTTTAGAATGACAAAAATAATTTCATTGCATTAAAAAAATCAAGTGGCATCTGAAAACAAAAGCTTTTCTCAGAACTCTCTTTACTTTTCTAAGTCTAAAGTCTAAGGTCATTTTTCGTGGAGACCAGTATAACCATTATTTTCCCTTCACCTAAATGACCTTCCCATCCCCAACTGATACAATGCTCTATGAACAGATTAAACAAAACCAGACAGACTGGAACGTTTAGTAAATATACACTCTGGCAACAGAAAATAAACCACTGCATAGAGTACAGTGATTGGTGACTGCACTCTGCTGCCTCAGGGCCTTGCAAATCACACAGGGACCAATGAATGCCAACGTACTCCCAGACAGACTACAGCAAAATGCCAGGGCATCTGTCTGTGATATAAAACTCAAGCACTCTTCAGTCCAAATGACCAAGAATATAAATGAACAGTATTATGCAATGCAAAAATCTATATTTAAGCAGTAAGCTCTGAGAGGTTGGACAATATTATGAATATAGTCATGGCTAAAGGCAGATGTTTGGCACTACACACTGCAGGCCCTTCAGCTGTGACTGCATTCATGAAATAAAATGCTGACGAATATTTACATGTATTTTACTTCAAATAAAAAGGGTAATATTCAACACTATTTTGTCTAAATAAATAAAAAATGTAAATGCTACAATTCCTTTAGGCATTACAGCATGTGCTGAATAAAATTTGGACATTCATTTTGAGATTTGCAAAATCTCAATTTAATTAAATTTTCATTTAACAGTAAAAAAAATAAAACTGAACTAGTAATTTGACAAAGATTAACTTGAAGTAAGTGAGTGCTATATGACAGCAAAGGTAGTGTAAACGTAAAAAAGGGCATGATCATGCAAAATATCCAATATTGACCAATACCAATAAAATAAAAAAGATCCCTAATATCAGCCAAAAAATTATAAAGGTAATATGATATATTGCACTTTCCTAACTACAACTTCCAACAGTTCTACAATAAACAAAGATTACACTATTGGTTTTAGTGTGGGTCAGAGAAAAACAACCAGACAGAGGGTAATTTTCATTTAACAGTAAAAAAAATAAAACTGAACTAGTAATTTGACAAAGATTAACTTTAAGTGAGTGCTATATGACAGCAAAGGTAGTGTAAACGTAAAAAAGGGCATGATCATGCAAAATATCCAATATTGACCAATACCAATAAAATAAAAAAGATCCCTAATATCAGCCAAAAAATTATAAAGGTAATATGATATATTGCACTTTCCTAACTACAACTTCCAACAGTTCTACAATAAACAAAGATTACACTATTGGTTTTAGTGTGGGTCAGAGAAAAACAACCAGACAGAGGGCATGAGACCAGGTTGAATGTGCTTTAAATGCACATCATATATAGCAGGTTTATGAAATGTTGTGAATAATGAAGAGCATGTCTGGCCTCTCCACCTGTTGCCTTGGTGTCAGGCCAAAATCTCTGATAAGGACAATGAAAGAGAAGAGTGGAAGTGCATTCATAACGCAGACTCACCAAATCAGACCCTTTCAACCTGATGCATTCATAAATAAATTAAACGCACATCAACACAAATCAAACAAAAAAAAAGGAACATATACATGAAGAGAGAGTGGTAAAAAAAAAGCACTGCACAACGAGTCGACAGTGAAAGTCATTGAAAGAAGTGACATTCAGAGCTGCCACAAGGGTACTTTGGATCAAATGCTTAAAGGTTTTGAGGTTGACAAACACCTCTCCACACCGCTTTAGGCAGATTACAGGCCTTTTCTTGTATTTTCTTTTTTTTTTGTGGAGTCAGCTTGGACCACTTTAAGCATCTGAATTCTTTAAACACAGTGAGATGTAGGGTGGTCCTTGCTTTTTCTCAGTGGTAAGCCACATTAATTTTTCTTCATACAAGGCCACTGAAGAGAGGCCCACAGTTTCAAACATAATAGTCGATGACAAGAGCTTTGGTTCCCACCGGTATCATCACAAGCAACCTAGATTAAGCATCCAAACACTGCAAAGCAACACTTCGTGGCCGAATCAAACATTTAGCATGGTTTGAGGTCACTGGCCCACAGGAGATAATCATTAGCAAACTGAATGAGTGTTAATGTCACACAGGCATCCGTGTGCATAAACCAAGAAGGAACAACCCAATGATTTACAGACAATAAGCTATATTGTTTGAAGCGTGATGAAAGGGCCCCCTCATGATCATATGTTTTACATTGTGCAAGCTGAAGTGATGCTTTGTTGAGGTCCGCACACAGAGAGAGGAAGAGCAGCCGAGTAAACCAATACAGTGCAAAAGGTCTCTGTCTGATCCATGTCTTTCTGCTCAGTCTCGACTTAAACACACTATAATCTATGAATCCAAACAAAAACAACACTACAACCTTTGGAAAGAATTTCTGAGAAGAGCTTGTTACATACAAACACAGTCTGATCTGGATAGCCAAACATTTCCTATGACCGTAGTGCAGTGGAAAACAGAAACTTAAACATTAACAAAAATATTCAAGTCATCGTTGTGTTCCATATTCATATTGAACATTTACTGTACATAAAAGAGTGTTTTCACACAGTTGATAAAGAATAAATGGCACTTTTTTGACTGTAATCCTTCTTTGTTGTTTTCCCAAATAAATAAATGCTATCATCATTAACCCACAATTTGTTCTTATATGACTTTCTGCTGACATTTTAAAGTTTCTTTATGTTAACAGTTGAATTAAAAATGAACATTTTTACTGCATTTATTAATCTTGGTTAATACTAATTCTTAATTAATGTATCATGGATGAATACGAGCAATAAATGCCATTAAAATCCCATTCATTGTTAGCTTATGATAATACTTTTTTTCTTTTTTTACCAATGATTTAATCTGGATGAAAACAAGATTTTACAAAGGCTCGCACTGTATAAGCATTTATTAATCTTGGTTAATACTAATTCTTAATTAATGTATCATGGATGAATACGAGCAATAAATGCCATTAAAATCCCATTCATTGTTAGCTTATGATAATACTTTTTTTTTTTTTTTACCAATGATTTAATCTGGATGAAAACAAGATTTTACAAACCGTACATTTCCGTGCTATATATGGTAAGTAACTGTAACAGATCTAACCACACATGTAATTTTACAGTAAAATACTGTCAAAATTACTTTTTTTTTTAATAAATTACAGAGAAAAATTCACATAATTTCCTGCATGACACTTCACATTTGATGTTTTTCGTTGAAATAGATATTAGTACTTCAATAGGTTGGTATATTAGCATTATATCAATTAATGAAACACGCTTTTTTTACTGTAAATTTAAGTTCAATCTGCAAAACCAAATATGTTGCCACCATATTTTTTTTCCGGTAAAGGTCTGGCAACCACAGCTGCCAGTATTTTCCCATAAATGTCACAGATTTTGTTTTTTTACAGTGTGTAATATCCACTTTTGCAACAGCAATAAGCCCACTTCTCAAACTTTGTCCATTCCAGAATCCACTTGGTACCTTCTGACCAAATATAACTGGACAACAACAATTTCCAAACCAAGATGAATAAGGAGGAATATATACTGGGTAAAAATGAAGTTCTCAAAACAAACTAAACTGAAGAAAAACAAGATAAATATATCCCAAATTACAGGCAATTACATGCAGTAAACAATACATCCCTGTTCTACTTCCTAAGGCTTTCAGTTGACTCCTAAGCCCATTACCAAAAGCAGGACATACTGTATGTTGACTAAAAGCACTCTAAACTTGCTCTAGCCACTCAGAAATGACAGCAGAATCGAGTGCAGATCTGAGATGGATTAGTGCATATCAGCCTTTTATGATGCAACTATGACATGAAGATGCTCAGACAAAAGCGCATGTTACCCTAAAGCTACTGCGAGTTTCCCCTGATGCTGAAATTACTGGTGCCACACTCTCAGGATCACATGAATCATTGTCTCGATCTCTGAGGGTCTAATCATTATGGGATTCACTGCTGAGACCAAAGAGTACAATTTCAGACTAATCAAATAGCAGCTTGACACATGATTAGATCAAGAGAACTGGGATCAGATGAATCCAGCCGTCTGAACATAATTCAGAGTTGTCAGTCTCCTACTAATGCGCTAAGCATCCTTCTAATCTTTGCATTAAAGAGGATCATGCAATTGTTTAGATCAGATGCTAATCAACATGGAGTAACATCAATTCACAAGATGGCAACAAAACTGGTAATGCATAGTACCGGCACTTCCCTCCTGAGGAGATCTCACATCCTCTAAAGATGAAATGGAGTGTAATTTCTTTGTTGGTATACAGTCATGCAAATAAAATCATTTAACACACGTGCTACTTATTTAGTGCTACTAAATAAGGTACAGTAGGGAAGTACATTATGCCACATGCAACAATGAGAGCTATTCTCATGAACTCTAGACAGAGTTTTTTTTATTCACATGAAGGGGTGAATGTCTATAATCAGCCTTCAATAATCACTGAACATACCAAAAGGGCCTGTGTTAAAACAAACAATATAGCACTGGTGAAACACACTTACATTTCCTTGTGTTTCTCCTCTGCTAATATCTGGTCATTTGGCTTGAGTCCATACCTGTTAAGACACACAAAGCATCTTTGTCATATCAGATCTACTCATCAAGAACAAGTCAAAGTTAAAGTAATAATAATAATTTCTTCTTCGTTAATTTTTTTTTATTTTAACTCCATTCATTAAAACAACATTAGTGGCATAAAATATTATGGTCAAAATATAACCTATGTCTAAAGTAATTCATGTTAAACAAATCTGTACCATATTTTTGTCATCACAAACAGCTAATCATCTTAAAATGTTCTCTCAAACAGATATTATCATGGAACAATCTACACAGAACAGATCCATTTGCCCCGAGATAAAGATAAGCACATGCAACAGCTCATTTCAGTAAGACGGCTGTAGGTGAAGGTCTTAGCCTTAAAACAAAATAAAGCTGCTTTCGTTGAGCCATAATCACTTCATCAACTAAAAACGTCTTTAGAAGCGAGTACAATAATTTGCCTATTTCATTTGAAACTGGACTCCGTGTCTGATTCCATCCAAAAACTGTATTTACAAAACATGGGCAATTATGAGTCATTCGTAACAGAACATGAACTTGGTGTGCTTTTAAAAATGGAAACCATCTGATGACTGTCTGTAGTCTGTGTTAGTGGTACAAACGGTCATAACAGCTCATCTAATAAGGTGAATTTGTACATCTGAAGAGGATTATGGAACTAGACACTGACTTATTGTAACTACTGGAGGTCTTATGAAGCAACAATAACAATTATTTGGAGACAAAGGCAAAAAACAACTGAATGACTTGAGTATTTACACTACTACTCAAGCTTTTTTTTTTTTTTACTGTCAAAGACAGTAAAGACATTTATATATAGACTTCAAATAAATGCTGTTCTTTTGAACTTCAAATTCAAAGGATCCTGAAAAAATGCATTACAGTTGCATATAAAGAAGTACAACTGTTTTCAACTTTGATGAAGACAAGAAATATTTAAGCACCAATTAGCAAATTAGAATGATCTCTAAAGAATCACGTGACACTGAAGACTGGAGTAATGGCTGCTAAAAAAAAAATCTGATTTGCCATCACAGGAATTAGTAACATTTCAAAATACATTAAAATAGATAATTATTTTGAATTGTAATAATATTTCACAATATAGCTGTGTTTGCTGAATTTTGATCAAATAAAAGCAGTCTTGTTGAGCATTTCTTTTAAAAACCAAAAATCGTACCCAAACTTTTTAACGGGAGTGTACAGTACATGCAGGTAAACTGTGGGGGATCTTGTTGTGATTCTCTCTCAATCAAATTAAATTTTAACAAATTAACCTAAGGAGTCAAATCTGAATTTGTCAGTGAATAATGTCTTTAAGAGAACATAAGTGACCAAGTGATATGACTGAGATTTAGGTGTCCTGAAGGAGCAATACCCCCCTCCCTCCCCCAACCAATCAAATTGCTCAAGCAGCTAAAACTATTTTCCATTATCTTGAAAGTCATTTTATATTTGGTATGTGGTCAATCATATGCTGGACCAATATCTAATCATTAAATAGGCAGCTCACTGATCTCTCTTAATGCATCTTAGTAAGCTATTATTTGACTCTGCCCTGCAAACAACAGATCATGCAACTAAACAAACTGCTCTACACTTAGAATAAATCAAATGGAAATCATCACAATCAAAGTCTGCCACAGTTCCAGCAGGTTTAAGATTACCAAACCTGTTTGCAATAGTGCTGAGAGTTAGGAGCCAATAAACTATAGTTTGATTGTTTAAAAAAACGTTCATATTTACAGAATAAAATGTGACCTGGTGCTAGGCCTGGGCAATAAAACGGTATCGATATTTATCGACAGTACACCTTCTTCGATAACGATATAAAAAATGTTCGATATAGCGTACGATATAGGCACCTGCTCCGAGTGACGCAGACAGCACACACAAACACATGCTGAATTGAGTGCTGTGCCTGCCTGTGATGAGGAGATTGTGAATAAAGAATGAATATTAGTCGAATTTAAAATAAACATTTGCATTTGAATGCAAAAAATAGTACAATCAAATGTTAGGAGTGCGTCAGGGAGCGTCTTCAGTGGAGCATATGCGGTGATGATGTAGTAAGTGACGTTGTTGCATTTTAATGTTTTGTTAATCTAGCCCACGAGACGCGCCGCTGCTGCGTCAAGTATTAAAAATATTAGAGAAATATAGAAGCTCAATGCGGAGAAGATCTTGAATGGGTTAAAACCGAAACCAAGCCATTCACACAGAACGCATATTAAGGGCATTTTTTAGACGGACAAATATGACTGCTGCACTCGCGCCTCACACAAGAGATGTAGCCATGCAAAGTTAAAACAGTTTTATAAAACACGTCACGAATTTGTGGAGGTTAAATGCAATCTGAGTGAACGGCGCTTCGGTTCTTTGGATTAAGCAATGCATAAATACATGATGCTGTTTTGTTCATAATTGTTTTTACGCAATTTACAAAATTATATTTGATTTATATGAGGTAATGTAGACGTAATGCATGTTTTTTTATAGACGTATTTCCTTGCGTTGACAATTTAAATGCACTGCATTATTTTGCTCATTGCATCCTCGGGAGACAAGACAAAAGTTTCCTTAAGACCTATTTAATCTACATATTAAATATTAGAAATTAGATATTTGTTTCATTTTTATTGTGTGTTTGACTGTTAAAACACAAAATACTTGTTGTTTGTCTCAATAAATTGGGTTAATTTTATAATTACAGTGGTTAAAAATTCTATTGCTCTTTGTTTTAAAAAGGTTAAAAAAAAGTCAATCATTATCGATACCGAACGATATGAAACATTATATCGTTGATACATTTTTTTTTTAGCTATATCGCCCAGCCCTACCTGGTGCATTCTACAATTTGATTTGATCAGCTCATACATTTGTGTGTAATGGAGAGGGTATTGTTTTATGACTAGTGCTAGAATGGCACTCTGCGAGTAGGCCTACGTGTCAAACAGGAGATATCCTCTCACCCGCGAAGTGTCCATGGCACATGCTGCCTCCTTAAAGAACAAGGACACTTGGCCTATTAAACGTAGTAGGTTTAATTTCTTTACAAAGAACGAAAGAAAAAAATATTATGAACCCAAAAGCTACTGGGCTTCCAGCGTCTCTTCAATTCTAATATGGGCTGACCAAAGATCAACCACTCAGTGACATGTAAAAAAAAAATAAAAAAAATAAATAAATATATATATAAAAATAAAAAAGCGGTTTTAGTTCACACGTCACAACACACTGATACAAAAGCAAACGTACAGCAGTGCCTAGCCATGTCATCAATTAAGATTAAAATCCAATTGATTTTAAAGAGACATGTGACTTACTTGTCTAGAAAGTCTTTGTCCACCACAGCACAGATGTCAAGCAGGGGGTTTCCCATCCCGAAAAGGGCATTTTGACTGCAAAAAACAAAGACATGCGTGTCCAGTTAAGACATTAGGAAAACATCAGAGTAGTTCTGACAACAGACGTAAGCAGAGTCAAAAGCACAGGGCCTTTCTGATTCACTTGCATGATGTGTCTTCTAAAAATACCAGGGACATTTCTTTGACCAAACAGACTATGTTCAGCATTTTCCCATAACAATTAGAAAAAATGTGCATAACTCAAGCATTTTTGTCTTGAGGGACTTTACATAACAGAAATTCATAAACATAGAAGATCCATTCAAGCATAAACTACAGCACATTACACAATCGAAAAAGCATGAAAGCATTGCTTTTTAATGAAATCCATGATGAGCTACAAGCTGGATATTTTGTCTATCAGATGCAGAAATACTCTGTGTTTGTTTAGCCAGACAAATAGTTTTAAAGCAGAAAAGCATGTCATAAATGTTTCAAACTAGGCACTAAAACATTTAAGAAAGCATTAGACAGTCACCAGATCTAACAAACCAAGCATTCAAACACGAGGCTAAGTGACTGACCGTTCATTCACCCTGGATGAAACATGTGTGGTGGAGACCCTAAGATTAAAACTTTGCCTCTAATCGAGTGTTGACAGATGTGATAAAATTACTTTGCAATGAGTAATGATAAAAGCCTGCATGTCTTTCCATAACATATTATTCTTTATTATTAATGTAAACAAATAAGAAAGCACTTCCAAATACTACAAGGAATGAGCCATGATTTCTATGGACACAAATTAGCAGGCAACAAAATGTGTCTAAATGATCATTTGCACTGCTACATTCAAAGAAAGACAATTGTTTAGTGCAGGTTATGGGGAACGTGTGAATAAGCACACGTGTCAGTGTGGGAGTTTGTGAAGCTTGTGGTGCTCTAAAAACAGATGTTTAGGGGGTGCTGTTCAGTGCATAAAGAAATTTATGAATATAATTTCTGTAGTGACTAAATCTCTGTACAACTAAAAGTAAAAAAAAAAACAGCCATCCCAGAAACACGGTAAATAAGCAAACTATCCAGAAGACTATGTAGCATCACATCTTGTGAGCTTCCATTAGCCAAAACATCACCAAATTCTCTTAAAACGCCATGCTATTTGAGTTGGAAAATTTGTTTTTATTTACATTATGGGCTAACAAAATTATAAAACTTATCAAATTCCATATATAGCTGAATAGGTGTCTAACTACCCAGTGTAGTCCTACCTGGCTGTAGTCATGAGGAATGCTTGCGGTGATGCTCAATGGAGTTTAATGACAGTCAGACATCGGTCTGCAATGTTAGTACAGAGACGCAAGAGTATGGCGCGCACTCCATGCCAAAATCAAACGTTCGAACGAACGACTGACCGATCGAACATCAAACCAAATGTCTGTCCGAACGTCTTGAGCTTTGTGCGTCTTACACTGCAGGTGACCCACGTGACGACCAGACGTGACGTCAGCGTCTTGAAATTAGCTGGTTTTTAAACATTTAAGGAGCCAAGCTGCTGTGTAAAGACTATAAATGGACATTACAAGCATTACAATAAAGATATTTTATACATAAAAGAATACTATAGTAGCTATATGTGTCCTATATTTCTGTCGACTGAACCAGCCATGCCATTAATTATGAATTTATCAGTCTTTTGCACATGAAAGTCAATTTTTGCATATAAATATTATGCCAAATAAACACAGAAAATCGAGCTTATATGCACCTTTATCAAGAGATCGGGTTAGCCTACAACAATTAATTAGGCTATTTTACAAATGGGAATACAACGAATTCATGACAATGTTTTATATTCAAGCTACCCATACAATTTATAGTGAAAAGTTCTTTAAAAGCATCTGGAATGCAATAAAGAAATTTTTAAAGCTGTTTTTAAAGCATTTGCAGCATGGATTAAAAAAAACACTAATAGGCAAATAAATAATTCACATCAGACAAAATTGCATTGCAGCAAATCCTTTCAATTTTAAGGTATTCAGAACAGAGCAACATAAAAATCAGAAAATATAAGCAGCTATACAAATATAGGACAATATATAAAAATTATAATACAAAAATTATAATATGTTTTTTATTTTTTAATTGTATAGAATTATAAAATAAAACGCAAATTATATTCTGCCCCGTTTTAGGCTTTTGCTTATTTTTATATTTTACACATCTATCAATTATCTTGACGGAAAAAATGACTAGCCATCTCCGCATTGGACGTGCCTTTAGTGAGAAATGCATCTTTAGGGATTACATAATGAGAGTTTCTATTTTTTATTTGAATTATTTTGTTTTAAAGTAGTAATTTAAAGCTTTCTATAGATATATATTTTTATCATGTCTGTGAGGCAATTCGCTGTTTCAGTTCATCATTGTGAAGCGCTCCTGTTCAAGACCGAGATGGCAGAATGCGCATCCCGTTTTCCTATTTATTTTATAAAAGCGTTTTGTTGATATTGTGAGTGCCCACAAATAAAAGTAGACCATTTACAGCTCCAAATGATGTATTAATCTTACCTTTATGAGCAAAAATGACGGCGTATTTTAGGTTGTTTCCACTGTTAGAAAAAAAATGAAAGTGATCGCACTGGCGCCTCCATGTCCTGCAAAGCGTACTTCAGCTGCCTTCCACTCTCCACACAAACGATTGGATATGCGTCTAACAGTGCGCATTTATCTATAGGTTAAATGTTTAAACTAACATTTGTGATATGCTTGAACTGTTATATTTCTATAGATTTTATTTTAGGCAAGTCGTGATGATTTGAGAAGGCTAAATTGATCAAACATAGGCTATGCTCAACTCACTGGCTGCCGCTGGCTGCTTGGTCGTTAATAAATAAATAAAATTAAAAATTAAGGAAAAAAAAAACAACTTACATTTAACGAAGAAAAAATGCTCCAAAAGTTTTTCTAAATGACCTTTATAAAAAAAAGAAACGAAATAATCACTTTTCCATTACATACAAAACTGAACTATTTTAATAGCCGAAACAGTAGTATAAGCTGTTTTGGTAGAAGGGGAAAAAAAGATGGGCTCGAGCCATGCTATTTGAGTTGGAAAATTTGTTTTTATTTACATTATGGGCTAACAAAATTATAAAACTTATCAAATTCCATATATAGCTGAATAGGTGTCTAACTACCCAGTGTAGTCCTACCTGGCTGTAGTCATGAGGAATGCTTGCGGTGATGCTCAATGGAGTTTAATGACAGTCAGACATCGGTCTGCAATGTTAGTACAGAGACGCAAGAGTATGGCGCGCACTCCATGCCAAAATCAAACGTTCGAACGAACGACTGACCGATCGAACATCAAACCAAATGTCTGTCCGAACGTCTTGAGCTTTGTGCGTCTTACACTGCAGGTGACCCACGTGACGACCAGACGTGACGTCAGCGTCTTGAAATTAGCTGGTTTTTAAACATTTAAGGAGCCAAGCTGCTGTGTAAAGACTATAAATGGACATTACAAGCATTACAATAAAGATATTTTATACATAAAAGAATACTATAGTAGCTATATGTGTCCTATATTTCTGTCGACTGAACCAGCCATGCCATTAATTATGAATTTATCAGTCTTTTGCACATGAAAGTCAATTTTTGCATATAAATATTATGCCAAATAAACACAGAAAATCGAGCTTATATGCACCTTTATCAAGAGATCGGGTTAGCCTACAACAATTAATTAGGCTATTTTACAAATGGGAATACAACGAATTCATGACAATGTTTTATATTCAAGCTACCCATACAATTTATAGTGAAAAGTTCTTTAAAAGCATCTGGAATGCAATAAAGAAATTTTTAAAGCTGTTTTTAAAGCATTTGCAGCATGGATTAAAAAAAACACTAATAGGCAAATAAATAATTCACATCAGACAAAATTGCATTGCAGCAAATCCTTTCAATTTTAAGGTATTCAGAACAGAGCAACATAAAAATCAGAAAATATAAGCAGCTATACAAATATAGGACAATATATAAAAATTATAATACAAAAATTATAATATGTTTTTTATTTTTTAATTGTATAGAATTATAAAATAAAACGCAAATTATATTCTGCCCCGTTTTAGGCTTTTGCTTATTTTTATATTTTACACATCTATCAATTATCTTGACGGAAAAAATGACTAGCCATCTCCGCATTGGACGTGCCTTTAGTGAGAAATGCATCTTTAGGGATTACATAATGAGAGTTTCTATTTTTTATTTGAATTATTTTGTTTTAAAGTAGTAATTTAAAGCTTTCTATAGATATATATTTTTATCATGTCTGTGAGGCAATTCGCTGTTTCAGTTCATCATTGTGAAGCGCTCCTGTTCAAGACCGAGATGGCAGAATGCGCATCCCGTTTTCCTATTTATTTTATAAAAGCGTTTTGTTGATATTGTGAGTGCCCACAAATAAAAGTAGACCATTTACAGCTCCAAATGATGTATTAATCTTACCTTTATGAGCAAAAATGACGGCGTATTTTAGGTTGTTTCCACTGTTAGAAAAAAAATGAAAGTGATCGCACTGGCGCCTCCATGTCCTGCAAAGCGTACTTCAGCTGCCTTCCACTCTCCACACAAACGATTGGATATGCGTCTAACAGTGCGCATTTATCTATAGGTTAAATGTTTAAACTAACATTTGTGATATGCTTGAACTGTTATATTTCTATAGATTTTAAGTCGTGATGATTTGAGAAGGCTAAATTGATCAAACATAGGCTATGCTCAACTCACTGGCTGCCGCTGGCTGCTTGGTCGTTAATAAATAAATAAAATTAAAAATTAAGGAAAAAAAAAAACAACTTACATTTAACGAAGAAAAAATGCTCCAAAAGTTTTTCTAAATGACCTTTATAAAAAAAAGAAACGAAATAATCACTTTTCCATTACATACAAAACTGAACTATTTTAATAGCCGAAACAGTAGTATAAGCTGTTTTGGTAGAAGGGGAAAAAAAGATGGGCTCGAGCCAAGAATTCTGATGAGCTGTCGGACAAGGCCAGGCTAGGGCCTATATTTGAGGGCCGTGCAGGGCTCTAGTCATGGCCGGACTTACCACTGGGCTTGAGTGGGCTGCAGCCCATGGGCTCTGTCTTGTAGGGGGCCCCGCCTTTGCCCGTTTACGTTTGTTTGATTTGATGGTTATATGCCAGTCAGAATTCAGAAATTGAATTGATTATTAGCCGCATTTCCACTGCGCACGCAAGATCTAAACGGGCCAGCTGGGGCTACAGCTTACAACTACGACCTTCGAGGCCACAATCAAACAACATAAACTGGTATTTATGATTATTTCACATAGAAGGACGCACGTATTGAATAGTGTCTGCACCGATTGGTTTATCACATGGCTACTTAACAGCCCCATTAAGCCTTTAGCCCCAAAGAGCGCACATTTAGAAAGATAATGATAAATTCTCAAATGTTTCATTGTTTCACCTCATTTCTTTACAGAGGATGGTTCTATAGTACTATAACCTATTAATGATCCACTAAATTATGCGATCATCTGATGAGTTGAGCGCTCTCTCTCATCTTACTGCCATTACACATAGTGGGAAAGAAATGTCATCAAAATGATTTTAAATAAATACTTACTTTATTATTACATGTTTTCCACACAGAAATACCAATCTTTTAATGATTAATCATGCATATGTAGATCTATTTATGTGTGTCACATTTGTACCAGACCTCAAAGTAACCCATAAAGTAAACCAGCCCCCACTACCGCGATCCATGCCGTTTTATTGCCTTTTTAGGAGGACAAATTGGTCTTTCAATGTTCCTCCACTTAAGTTTTTTGAAAACATTAAAAACATGCATAAAAATAAATGCATATCAACCAAATAACAATAACTAATAAAAGTGGATCAAATATAAGCATGATCTTTTATTTTCAAACACTAAAGAGAAATATCAATACTGACTGAATCTTAATAAAATTACTAAATTATTATTATCATTTAGGCCTAATCAGTTAAAACTGTAAATTCTTTAAACAGACTAAACTTTGTATTTAAGGTTCGTTGATTTTCAAGTCTTCCACATTCAAACAATGAGCCAGAACTAAATTATTGATAATTTGCATAAAATCATATGTAACACGTTCCTACACATACACATGTTGATAACATGTTCCAATGGCGACCGGTGGAAGTGCAAGTAACCGATCGTGTTTCCAACGTGTTGTTTACGTGTGAAGACACGTTGTAACACGTTTGTGTTTTTCTTACCTTAATGTAAGCTCTTTTACTTCAGTTGTGTCCTCCGAAATAGTCAAAATTAGATTTTTGCAATGGCTGATTTAGAAATTATATGCAGTGTATTATTAAAGTTAAAGCAGCAGAGGGTATTATATACAAACCGGGTATGCTTTGACGGTTAATTTGGAAAAGCAGGAGATACTCCACATATTTTTTCAGGATTCTTTGATGAATAGAAAGTTCAAAATAACAGCATTATATTTGAAACATGATCTTTTTTAACATTACAAATGTCTTACTGGCACTTTTGATCAATTTAATTAGTCCCTGTTGATGTGTGTATACACACACACACACATATTTACGCACAAATCGGCTCCTATGAAAACTGAACATGTTTATAATTTTATAACCTCATTAAACATCTATAAAAACTCACAGATTCTAGCAGTTCACGAGAACATACTGAAAGTTTTTACCTTACATGTAAGAGCAACTGTCCACTGTAAAAACTCCTGGAATTTTAATGTTAAACTTCAAAGTAGCTATTAACTCAAATAGGTTAATTTGTGTTTAACTATTTTAATATTGAACAAATTCATAAAAAATAAATATTTTCTTAGTGTTTTTAAACCTGTACCTGTCATGACAACTCCCAATATTTATCATTTTTGGCAAAAAAAAAAAAATTAATTTCTGTATAGTATGCAGTTTCATATTCCTGACATAAATGTTCTCAATATGACAGTACGTCAATTTTTGAAAATTGTAACCTTTGTTGGAAAAGTAAATAAATTATTTGTTTGGTTGTTATATATATATAATATATATATATAACACTGTGAACATTGTATATTACTATAAACAGTAAAAATGTACAGTATGTCTGCTCTTTGATAGTAAAACATACTCAAGCACAGGATTCAGAAAAAAAAATATTTTAGTGTTGTTTTAGGTGAACAATATCTATATGTATTGCCTGTAAAGTCCATTTATAGCCTTTACACAGCAGCATGTCTCTTTAAATGTTTAAAAACCAGCTAATTTCAAGACGCTGACGTCGCGTCAGGTCGTCACGTGGGTCACCCGCTCCATAAGACGCTCAAAGTACACGATGTTCGGATAGACGTTCGGTTTGTCGTTCAATCGGTCGTTTGATTTTGGCATGGAGTGCGCGCCATACAAGAGCACCTGGCTGCTGATTGGCTGAACGCGCAACAGCATCGACTGCTGATTGGCTGACTAATAGGAGGGGCTCAGTTGTTCCCCGTTTAAGCTTTTTGTGGGTAAAAATGTGGGGCCAGATGTAAAAATAAACCTAAATGTACATATTAAACGTAAATACTACACTTGCCACCCAATATGCAAATACAAACAATAATGCCCAATATCCAGCTGTGACCTAACCGTATTCATACATGACAGTGTGCAAGCATTGACATCTATTCTCAATAGCCATTAGACGAATGACTAACGTTACGGTAACTTACATGACTCATATTTCGTTATGACAACACTGCTAAAGGGACCGCATGTCTGAGAAAGCGGGTGTCAATAGGTTTGGGACAAATACCAGCCGGAAAATTATCTACACAACTTACAACCAACATTTGTGCATCGAGCATAAACTACATTGTGTATTCATGCATGTATTTATGTTATATATGCATGCGTGATCCTTAATTTTGTGGCAGCATACAGCAGGGAGACTTTTTGTGCAGCAGAGCCCGACTGCATAACAAAAGACACGTGGAGCCGGAGGGACGCACTCCAGTGGCCGATGGAAAACACTCAAGGACAACGGATGTTCAAAAGCATTAATCATACGTACTCACCAGCCGCCTATGTATGATTGTGGAACGCTTTGGATGTTGTTCACTCACAAAGAAATGCCACATGATCACGAGTTTGCGATTTAGGCTTTGCAGCATAACCGAACTGAGTCATCGGCATTGCTCTATAATGGGAAAATGCCCGATATATTCCTCTCCAGTGCAACAACAATGTGCTTTTGAGAGAAAGCACTGAATTGACAGCACATGGACTTTAAGTGACACGCAGACTAGACCTCTGACCCAAAAGTGCTCGCAAACAAACCACCCCGTGTTTAATAAAATACCAAACACACGTTTGACTCTGTCATTCTACACTGTTCAGCCGATGCTTGTGTTTACTGTACCTGAGCTTTTTTTCCTCGAGTTTAATCCTCTTGGGTTTAGGTTCATCGGACGCCATGCTGTATTAGAGGTCTCTAGACACCTTGTTGAGCGAGTGAAGCATCTTCTTCTTCTTCTTCTTACTCGTTTTTTTATTGGCGGCTCGCAATCACCAATTGAGCATTACCGCCATCTACTGAAGCAATGGATCAGAGACTTGAATTCCCTTCTCCCAGACCTATCAGAACTCAAGCTTTCGATGTTGCTGCGTGTTCAGCTCCTCCATCTACAGCCGAAGTCCCTCTCAGCCCAGAGAATAGAAATAACAGTAATCTATATTCTATGAATTAACTGAGTTCTTCTTAGAAATTATATTAACAGACTATCACCTCCTACTGGATTCAAAATCTCTTTTAACGTTACTTGCTGCTCACCGTTTTTTTGAAGTTAATCCAGTGGGATGTTTTCCTATTCTGTGCAATGTTGTATTTAAACCAGTGTGACCCATTCTAAGACGTTAGACTAACATCTCCTCCCTTGGGCTTCTGCCCTTCCTCATGCTTGTGACTACTTGATTTTGTATACTGTATAAATGATGTGCTGTATCCGCTGTGTTCCAATATTCCTGCCATATTTTAAGTGAATGTTGCTTTATGATGGTTTTGACCTCTGCTCTACTTATTGGTACGTGTACATCTACTGTTTCATGCTTTGTAGAGTTTTTTGCTAGCATATCCACAACTTCATTTCCTTCCACCCCTACATGGGCAGGAACCCAAAGGAAGGAGACAGCCATTCCCTTATTATGAAGTGTGAGAAGCAAGTGGAGTATTTGATAAATGAGATCTTGTCTACATGACGCTCTCCCAGATTGAATGCTTAATAATGCTGATAAACTGTCTGAGGCTATAACGACACCTTGGTTCGGATTATTTTCTTCCACCCGCCCTAATGCCAGTAAAATTGCTACTAACTCCACAGTGTAAACTGACAGGTAGTCTGTTGTCCTGTTTTTGACTACTACTTCATACTGAGGAATAAAAAATGCTGCACCAGTATGGCATGTTTCCGGCTGCTTTGATCCATCTGTAAATATGAATAATTCCTCTTGATACTGCTCTACATAGTTTTGAACTATTATCTACTGTGGCATTATTTTTGTGTTTTCTTTTAGTATTTGTTGTAAGCTTATATTTACAGATGGTTTTATACATTTCCAGGGTGGCATCATTGATATTGCTACTTGCAACTGATTAAGACCTGCATTTTGAGCCTTAGCATTCCCCACCCATCCAAAACTGTAAAAATTGCTTTTATTATGCTCTGCGCATTCTTGCAAGCCAGTTTTTGTGGGGTGCACCATACTATGTCTTTGTAAACTAGTCCAATACGCCAACATGATCTTGACCCTCCTTATACGTAGCAGCATCTCTCCTGCTTCCACCTGTAATGCAGTTACTGGCGAGTGAAGCATCTGGAGACGCGGCAGGCGGATAGTTCTTTTGAATCGAATCTTTTCACTGAATCGATTCACAAAACCGTTCAGAACTATTCCTTCACGAACTGGACTGAAACGGCCCGAGCTGTTCTCACGGACCCACTGAACTGAGAATCGTGTCTCTCGATCATCACATCCGTTTCGTAATGTGCCGAGGACTGATGAGTGAGCTGCTAATAAAACCATTCGATTTCCTGTTCAGTGAGTCAGTAAATATCGCGAGTGAACCGAAGATTTGACTAACATGGTGGAAGTTACTTTAATAGCCAAATAACAGAAATGTTACAAATAAATCCTACTGCAAATGTATGAATTTGACAAATTAACTCCCATTTTAATACATTCTAATCAAAAAACGTAATAAACAGTGTTTCTACACGCCAGGAACCACGTGATAATGTAAAGAACCAGTGAATCTGTTCATGTGACTGTTCTTTGAAAAGAGTTGTTCAAAAGAACCGATTTGGGGAAATGATACTAGCCGTGGAGAGAAAAATTTACCACAGCACATAGCTGTCCCTGTGTATTGCCGGAACAAAAAATACATTCCCAAGCTAATATAAACTTTAATTAAACACGTGCTTTGCAGAGGTATCATTTAACGTATTTGACCTCAAGCTTTTTTCACGAGAAGCGATTGTTTGTGTTTTAAAATTACTTCAATATAAATTCGCGACAGGCTTAGATTCGAACGCATGAACCGTGAAGGAGGAGTGATACATCTGCCACATTGCAAGCGGGGGACATTAACCGAGACAGCTGTCTATAGGTAAGTACTATTTAGAAAGAAATAAGTTTAGATATGTGTAGTTATGAACAACCGACTGCCCGTGTTTGTTCGCCTGAACATTATAGCCTTAAATAATAGGTAGATCTAGGATATTCTGCAAATCTTCTTTCAGGAAACAAAACTTTATGCTTTTGTTTTTAGTATTTTCTGAGCAAATAGATAGGTTTGAAATTGTATGATAAAGTTGTTTGCACAGAGCTCCGGACCTGAAATGTAGCTTCATAAAGTGCACAGTGAACAACATTTATACCTAACCTCTGGTCAATATAATTTCTTTTCAAATTAATTATTTATTTTTATTATATAAGTGATTATAGAGGGCTAAACGTTGATATAATATGGATAATATTGTAATATGCTTTAAAGCCACTAACCTAATTACTGTAAGCAATAAGAATATTGTTTTATTTCTTATATAGAGTATTTAACTTGGATAGTGAAGCAGATTAGGAAGATATGGCGTAAAACAATAAATGGGTAAATGGTGGTGGTTGAGGAGATTCCCCCCTTTCATGTAAAGCGCTATTTAAATGTAACAAATTATTATTATTATATATAAATTTGTGTGTGAGTTTACGTAGCATAATATTCTCATACACACTTTGATTATTCACTTAAATACTAAGTTTTATTATTGTACATGAATATAAAATATGGGTTTAATGAGTATTATTTTCCCAACAGTTATCCCAACAACTCTTTTATATTTAGTTTGTATAACCAGTGTTATGAAAAAATTGTCTTCTAGGCATATATCTCTCCACACACTGGAATAACATAATAGCTCATACCTGCTGTTAGCAAAGTGACTCTCATTCTCATTGTCCCATTTTCATCCTGTTGAAATTCCAGCCCTCATCATGATTCACAGCTTGTTTCTGATAAACAATGCTGGCGATTTATTCCTGGAGAAACACTGGAAGAGTGTCATAAGCCGCTCCATCTGCGATTATTTTTTCGAAGCACGGGAGAAGGCAGTGGAACCTGACAATGTGCCTCCTGTCATCCGCACCCCTCATCACTATCTCATAAACATCTACCGTGAGAAGATCTTCTTTGTTTCTGTCATCCAAACAGAAGTGCCTCCACTCTTTGTAATAGAATTTCTGCATCGAGTCGCAGAGACATTTCAGGTATCAATAACCCACTGACGGTGTGGCGTAGAAAATATATCCTAACATACGCTGCGGTCAAAAGTTTGGGTTCAGTAAGATTTAAAAAATAATTAATGCTTTTATTCAGCAAACTTGGTGTGCGTTTTATTGGAGATGTTTTGTATAGAATGTGTGTTGAATAATATGGTGCTTTATAATCATTAATGCAGGACTATTTTGGAGAATGTTCTGAGACCACTATCAAGGATAATGTGGTTATAGTCTATGAGCTCTTGGAGGAAATGTTGGATAACGGCTTCCCCCTCGCTACAGAATCCAACATCTTGAAAGAACTCATCAGACCTCCCACAATCCTGCGATCGATGGTCAACACCATCACAGGTAAGACACCACATGCCTGAGTGTTTTGTTTATGGCCATGTGATGTTGAGAATCTAAATGATTCATAATCTTCAGGCAGTAGTAATGTTGGCGAAACCCTCCCTACTGGTCAGCTCTCCAATATTCCATGGAGAAGAGCAGGTGTGAAATATACCAATAATGAGGCTTACTTTGATGTGGTGGAAGAAATCGATGCCATCCTGGATAAGTCTGGTAAGAATATTTTGGTGCTAGTTTTCAGTTTGATTTCACAGTTAGATTGTTCACGTCAATGCTTAATACTGGAGGTATGTACTTCCTTTCAAGGTTAATGTTGGTGTACTCTTCTGTTTCAGGAACTACAGTTTTTGCAGAAATCCAGGGAGTTATTGATGCTTGTGTCAAGCTTTCTGGAATGCCAGACCTTACCCTCTCATTTATGGTGTGTTATATTAAAAAAGTTGTGATGAAACCAAATTAGCGACAGGTCTTTTCTTTCATATTATGATGTATTTTTGGGAAAATGTAGGGTGGAGGATTGGATCTGTCCATTGGTTGTTAATTAGATTTTGAGATGTGGCCATTGCACTCAAAAATGAAAGCAGATGAATGCAAGCTTGTAGGAGCTGAGTTTAAGTGGACTGCCGTTTTCACCAAAAGGTCCAGTTATGACATTTTCTTTAAATATTATGAGGTCAATATAAATAAATGAAACGCACACAGTCAGATCAATTGTTCACAATAACTATAACATGCATTTAAAAAATGCACCGGAGGATTGAGTATCTTGAGGACAGAAAGATGAAGCATTATACACATTATACTCTTTATCTAAAACTATTGTAATCAACATTTCTCTAATTTTACAATTATTATGCATGCAGCTTTTATGATCTCATTTTAATCAAGGGACTATATGGCACGTGTACTTTTCCGCATATTTATGCAAGGAACACACTTTTTTTTTTAAACAAAACTGTATGTTCCCCATCCACAGAACCCCAGGCTCCTGGACGACGTGAGCTTTCATCCGTGCGTCCGTTATAAGAGATGGGAAAGTGAGAGAGTTATCTCCTTCATTCCCCCCGATGGAAACTTTCAGCTCATGTCGTATCACATCAGTGCGCAAAAGTAAGCGTTGATCTGAAGTAAATGGTTTAGCAATAAACTTAAAACATGTATTAAAGATTTTTAGATATTGCCCATTAAAAGTTTTTTACCTGTTTTTGCAGCCTCGTAGCAATCCCGATATATGTGAAGCAGAACATCAGTTTCTTTGAGACTGGATCTTCAGGAAGACTGGACATCACTGTGGGTCCCAAGCAGACCATGGGAAAGACTGTGGAGTGTTTGGTAGTGACCGTACACATGCCCAAAGTGGTTCTCAGTGCCAACCTCAGTGCGACTCAGGGAACCTACAACTATGACCCTGTCACAAAGGTCAGATGCAACTCTGTTTTCCATTTTCATTGACTTATTGTAGTTGTGTTATTCTAGTAATGTCACAGCTTTTGATCATTTGAAACATTATTTTTCCCTTCGATGTTGGCTAATAGTTCTGACTGTTGTCTTGTAGATTTTGTTGTGGGATATAGGGAAACTTAACCCCCAGAAGCTTCCCAATCTGAAAGGAAGTTTAAGTCTGCAGTCTGGAGCTCCTAAACCAGAGGAGAACCCAAGTCTGAACATTGACCTGAAAATCCAGCAGTTTGCCATCTCAGGTAGGCTAGGGTCCTTTATCAGCTTTGGTCGTTATTCATCGCCAGCAGGACCTTGTGATAAACCGTTGTTATAAACACACTTTTAAAAAGCATAATAAGCTGCTATAACCCTACTTAATTTATTATTTGTTCACTTTTTTTTTTTCTACATTTATTTTCATCTCCTTCCACATGTTCGCATATGTGATCGCTGAAATACACTACCATCAAATGCTTAGGGTTAATACATTTTTAAAAAAAAGACTTCTTACTTTTATTCAGCAAGGATGCATTAAATTGATAAATGAGTAAAGATATTCAGAATGACACAAAAGATTTATATATTTTTTTTTTTTTAAAGAAAAAAAGGCTTTTGAACTTTCTATTAAGCGTTAAAGCTTCACAAGTTTATGTAAAATGATCATATGATCCACTGAGCATTGAGAATGACATTGAAAGAAATCTGATCTTTTGTAGAGAGGGAGTTCACATGGTCGATGTCACAAGCTTGCTTATTTGAATAATGACTTAGAAATAGTGTACAAAATCCTAAAAACAAAAATCCCATTTTCAGACACTGTATGTTATGTAAAGCACCTTAAAATGCTGTTTTGTGTTCAAATGTGTTATATAAATACAGTTCTGCTTATTTCACTCTCTCGTCTGCTTCACAGGATTGAAAGTCAATCGTCTAGACATGTACGGAGAAAAATATAAACCATTCAAGGGTGTGAAATATGTGACCAAAGCTGGGAAGTTCCAGGTCAGAACATGAGGCCAGCTGCAGAGTATGACAATGATATGCCAAAAGTTTATTAGAGGTGCCATTTTCTAAGTGACAAATCATACAGGATTGCAACCTGGTGCACAGTCTCCCTTTATTTTTTAAAACATCGCAGTTACATTTGTTACTGTAATTTTGATCTTTCTTGTTTTGTGGGAAGTAACTGGCAATTTGCAAGAAGTTAAAGTCTTTCCATTGGAGAGTATTGGGAGAGCATTTTGTTTAGGAATGTTTCACTTTATATCATCAACATTCCACTAATGTATTAACACTGTATTATGTTAGATTTAAGGTACGGTAAATCTCTGCCAGAAACACATTACATTAATCACAATACTGCTCTACAGTCTTTGATATTGGCACAACACAATACCTGAGTTTCTGCACATATTCATAGGCCTTAACTTTTTCATTTAAATTTATTTGCCAGTTCAGTGGCCTTTGAATTAAAATATATATATATATTTTGAGGAGGCCTCACACACTCAAATGGCCTTTATTTAAAGGAACAGTCATGCTTACAGCAGGGCATATTTACAATGATGCAATCTACCATACAAGCACATCAATGCTCAGAGGTGAATGAAAGCTGTATCTGCTTAAAAGACAATTTACACTTAAAGTAGTTTGCCACATACAAGCACTATGGAGCCATTATGAGCACAAGTGATAATCTGTTCGGTTCCGCTCACCTGCAGTGATACGCTAGATATGCAGGTCTGACACCTTAATGAAGTTTTGACGATTTGCACACAAGGACACACAATTGCATTATTTTGTAAAATGTCAAGGGAACTGCATTTTAAAATATGTATTTAAACCAAAAGCCTTCAGATTTATAAAGTTTGTAAACAAAATGAGGTCTTTGTGTGTTTCCACTTCTGAATCATAACTGTTTATTATAGCTTCACTTGAATATGTTTGAAAGTATTAGCAATGAATGTCTTGGAAGTTACAATCAAATGGGTCCTTTAATCTCTGTATAATTATTGAAGTGCAGTACCTTTAACAAATTAGAAAGTAACTTGTCCCTTTATTGACATATTTTGCGAATGAAGTTTCCAAACAAAACACCTTAACAATTTTTTTTATTAATCTGAGGCACATAAGATTTCTATGTGACACTGAAAAAAGTCAACATTAGTGTCATATTTACATTCACAAAGCAGTCATTTCACCCTTTCAAAATGTCATAAGAACCCACAACATGCTATTACACATACAAATACAGCCCTGTAAACTTTCACCTAATTATTGAAGTGCAGTACCTTTAACAAATTAGAAAGTAACTTGTCCCTTTATTGACATATTTTGCGAATGAAGTTTCCAAACAAAACACCTTAACATAATTTTTTTTATTAATCTGAGGCACATAAGATTTCTATGTGACACTGAAAAAAGTCAACATTAGTGTCATATTTACATTCACAAAGCAGTCATTTCACCCTTTCAAAATGTCATAAGAACCCACAACATGCTATTACACATACAAATACAGCCCTGTAAACTTTCACAACGAGGCACTATATTGGGGGCTGAAAAGGTACTCTTTCAAATGTATATGTTGTAGATAAGAGTTTTTAAGTGATGCAAGGCAGTGAAGCATCATGATAGTGTTCGTGTTGCTGTACAGATTCAGAGAGCATCTTCAGCTAATAATGATTGACTATGATTGCACAATTTCCACACATTTGATTCTATACTGTAAATTTACTGTCCTTAAAACGGCAGTTCACGCAAAAAATTCAAAATCTGTAATTTACTCATTAACCTGTATGACTGACTGGTTTTTGTCCATACATTGAAAGTCAGTAGGGTCCAAAACAACATGTTCTGGACCCCACTGACTTCCATTGCATAGACAAAAACATTTTCAGTTTTAGAACAACATGAGGGGTGTTGACAGACATTTTATTTTTGGGTAAACTATGCCTTTTAAGCATCTCCAAATACATAGGTATCACATATAAACAAGCCACCTGGGTCTTGTTACCCATTCTATTTAAATGGGTGAAAACATTAAGACAACTCCATCATTGATATACTACAATCGCGAACAGAATCACACTGAGAGAAACGTACAAAATTACAGCTGTAAACTGAGCTGAGAGAGAACAGTTCAACTGTTGTGAGGATTGTGCTTTTCAGTTAAGAAATTTAAATAATCATTCACTCTCTCACAAGCTTAACAGAAAGAAGAGTTAAGTGTGGATGAAGTATAAAGAATTTCAGTGTTAACTAGCCAAGCTTTCACATGTCTATATAGATTTACACCATAGATGTGTTCATTTGATTGCTAATGGATATTAAGTGGAAAAAAACAAAATCTTTGGCATCAACCATGCCATGCAAAATACATCTCTGTAATGGCATGACCCATCAAAAAAGGCATTATCATATTTAATAAATAGCTAAGCAAAAGTCATTATAAATGAGCAAATAACAGTTAATTATAGTGAAATATAACTTAAAAACAACCAGCCAAAGGGTTTGTGAATAGCAAAGTAAAACATTGTCTGTGTTGTATATTTGCGACTAAAACGTGATCTGTGATAATGTTCTGATGAAATATAAGAAATATAAATATATACATTTTCAATAAGAAAATTTATTTGTCAAAAACTAATTTAAAGGAAATTTCATCAGGAACTCCAACATTGTTCGAGAGAGGCATCATGCCATTTTTCTCCAGTACAAAATAGAAAACTTCTTCATGCAAAAAAAATATATATATACGTGGAATTTGGAAACCCAACATACCAAAAATATATATTTAAAAATTTGCTTCCTGTATACTCCTACACTGTAACTACAGCAAACTTACAGGACAAAAATAGCCTCTGTAAGGAGCATTTTAGGTCTACCAAGTACCCATACCAGCAAGTAAATAAAAATAAGTAATACCAGTCTCCCCGAAACTAGAGCCAAACACCCCTCATCAGATCTCAAGATGCTTGAAAAGGCAAGGATGCGAATTGCTAATTGAAAACAACTAGTCCTCAGTTTACTGGTACCAGGGGGTCTTTCGGACCCAGCGAAGAGTGAACCCCGCGTCTGTGCGGATCTTGATGGAGGCGGCTTCTGCTTCTCTGACCGTCTCCTTCACGGACTGCATGAGGTTCTGCGCGTTGTGCACAAGCATCTCGGTGGCCTTAAAACCAAACAATCATTTGAATTCCAATCCAATAAATCCTTCATTTAAGATGTTTGTGAATGTGCCTCGTCTCCTCACCTGCTCAGATTCTTCCTCACTGATGTTTGTACGTCCCAGCATAGTGGCCTTTACAGTGGACAGGATCTTCAGCTGAGTGCTAATAGTTGGGATACGCTCACAAACCTGGAATAAACATTGAAACATGACATTTACTTGACAAAATAAGCCAATTTGCAAATATGCTTCTATCAGCTCTCTACTACTACTGATATTTGCACCACTGACCTGCAACAGGTTTGTGCGAATCCGTTTGTCGGTGCATTGCTTGGCTACCTCCTTAGCCAGCCGTGTGACCTCATCGGAGGCCTTGGCGATGTCCTTGGCGCACTGAATGAGGGCACGTTTATTTCCACTGCCTCCACGCACCAGACGGGACATCTCCGCCATGAGCAGGGCCATGCGCTTAGCTGCTCCAATGATGTCATTACCCTAAGAAGAAAAAAGCCCATGCAGACTTAGCATAAGGACTTTAAATAAGAGTTTGATTACAGATGTACTTTGATTGTTCATGTAGATCATTTTTGCCCGTTTTTAATCTGCGATTGTTGATGAGCTCTAGCTATGTGTCTAACTTCTATCTTTAACACTCTAAAATGTCACCAAGACAAAGAAATAGTGTTTAGAATCAGGTCATATTCAGCCAGTGCACATCAGTCATGCATTTTTTTAAATGATTTGTATAGGTTTATCATGTCTCCTGAAGTCACATTTGTTGGGACTAAATGTGAGAAATACAACAAATACATATTTTTTCTGTGCAGACGGAAAAGCATTTGCATGCTTGTTACCATTTTGTAAATCTTCTTTTCCCATGTGGGTGCACAAGTTTCCCATCATGAAAGTTTTTTTGGTTTGCACAATTTTCGGTATATATCAATTCAGTTTTTTCTTTTAAAGAATTTTTAAAAAGGTAATTGCGACTCTTTATCTCACAATTCTGATATTCTTCCTTGCAATTGCAAGTTTATTTCTCAAAATTCTGAGTTTGTATCTCACAAATGCAAGAAAAAAGTTTGTAAGATTGTAAGATAAAAATGATACCTTTTTTATTTATTTTATCCATGACGGAAGTAAGTTCCAGAGTTCTCTTGTCTGCATGAGAATGGTATTTTTTTCTGCAAACGTAACTTTAGGGGCTCCATAGAATCTAATGTATTTTCCTCCAGCTTGTCAACAATATGGTGTACATCTAACGGATAAATCATAATTATTAAAAGATAAACAAATCAAAAACCTGAATATACTGTACATTTGATCGGTACACTTTCCGAGTATAATTCTGCATGATCCATTAGTGAGTTGTGTTTATACACAGGCATGCAAAGTTTCAGTGTGTTAAAATGTAACATCTTACAATGGCTTTGACATGGTTCATTTAAATGGTTAGAAAAAGTGTGCAACAAACAAACAGGCATGTGACATGATTTCTACACGTGTAATTCCGAAGTCATTGGGAAACTGTCATCCATGGCTTCACAGGATGGCAAAAGCAGAGTGTTTGGCAGCAGCGGTTGAGTGAATGGCTCCTCGTTCACACCGAGGTGTGACACTATCAGAAATGAGCAGGGAAGTGACTTGTGAAGCCAGTATCAGTTTGTCCAAGAAATGCACAACAAACTTGCCAAAAAAAACACACTGGACCCAAGTGTGAAGCAACAGCAGCAGCAGCAGCTATCTGGTTTCAGCATTCCCACAGTAATATCTGGATGCAGATGGGATGCTGCGGCCCACTGGGGCCAGAAAGCAGAGTACCTTACTGGACCACTTGCGAGCCTCCTGGTGCAAAGACTGCGCAGCGGCCAGAATGGGCTGGTTAACTGGCTGACTGGAAGACATTAAGAGCAGCTCTGGCTCAAAATCATCCTCGTTGTCTGTGAATTCATCCTCATCGTCTATATCTACTTCTGCCTCAGCGGCCTCAAAACCCTCGTCTGTCACTTCAGGCTGGGGAGGCTGGGAAGGAGGAGGAGATGGAGGGGGGAAAGAAGGATCCAGCATGGAGAAAGAAGGACAGCGTTAGTACGAGAGGCACTGCATGGAGATTCCCAGGACATGATTGTGGGAACAGCTGGGTTTAGGATGACTGGAAGAGGCAGCATTCTGGGTCCTGCTGGGTAACGTCTGCCACAGGGTTTATAATGTCAACTGAAAATCATGTAACTGATCTATTCTTGCATAAAGTTGAGGATAGAAACTGGGTGGTTAATTTTGGACAGAGCAAACAAGCAAAGCCCCCAACAAGATAAGATAAAATTCATGATGGGTTCTCCAAAAAAGCAGCTTTGACAGAATGTTACAATGAGTTTATATTTCAACTTGAATGATACTTAAACCTAAAAATACTCCTCATAAATTACTGCATAATTATTTTAGTATTTATTTTACAGAGATTGAAATTTCTGGCTGTCATCTTATTTTTCTTCTTTCTTTTTTTTCCTTTACTTTTCCAATCATTCATTACTATATTTATAAATTACTTCTTCTCAAAAATTTATATATATATATATATATATATATATATATATATATATATATATATAGCTGCCAAAATAGTCAGTCATATAGACTATCTTTTTCATGTACACAAACATTCAAAAGCTTGGGGAAGTTTTTTTTGTTTTTTTTTAAAGAAATGAATACATTAATTAAACAAGGATACATTAAAATGACTAGAAATGACAGTAAAGACATGTAACAAAATATTTCAATTTCAATTAAATGCTGTTCTTTTGAGATTTCTATTAATAAAAGAATCCTAAAAAATGTGTCATGGTTTCCACAAAAATATTAAGCAGCACAACAGTTTTCAACAATGATTATAATAAGAAATGTTTCTTGAGCAACACATCAGTATATTATAATGATTTCTGAAGGATCCTGTGACACTGAAGACTGCAGTAATGGCTGCTGAAAATTCAGCTTCACCATCACAGGAATACATTACATATTAAAATAGAAAACAGTTATTTTAAATGGTAATAATATTTCACAATATTACTGTTTTTATTGTATTTTTTAACAAATAAATTCAAGATGAGCATAGGAGACCTTTTTCAAAAACAAAAAAATCTTACTGACCCCAAACATTTGAATAGTAGCATATCTGTCTATCTACCTGCAATATCTCAGCATCTCATTAATCCAGCTATTCCTATTTTTACACTGTATTAATTTTGTTAAAGTGAAAATGACCATAACTGAACAAACAATAAAAGATACAAACAGGGAAAGACCATGTTAAAACGCAAGAGAACAAATAGTTTTCACGAGACAAAGCCATGAAAGGACTGTTCAAGTATTATAGAAGTAGAAGAAATAGCACAGAAACATCCCCAAAAGGACAACGACACAACCAGTAAGTCAAACACACCCAGTGGGTTCTCACTACAGTCACCTGATTGGATTTGATAAGTATTACTGCTTACATCACCTTCTAGCACCTACAAGAGCCTTTGTAATGAGCTTGTATTAGCTCCGCGCTAGTTCCAGTTGATATCGCATCCACTGAGGAAGACATTTCCCATTATAGTTAACTCAGGTAGTCCTGTCGGTCCCGTTTCGTAGAAAAATCATGTATTGGTCCATCACTATGGTAAAAAAAAATTAGTCTGCTTGTTAAAACGTTAGAGTATGCAAACATTTCTTTCATAGATGACAGTTTCCATTCTTTTTTTCCCCCTGAAACTGGAATCATCACAGAGATTTCCACATTTCAGGTTAAAGACAACAAAAAGCAACATTTCACAATCATAAAAAGCAGACCAGTACACAAAGCGCATCTCAATCATTTGAACACATTTGTTTTTTTAAATAAACTTTATCAGTTTCATCTTGACAGTCTTTGTGAGATTAACACTTTAATTTTAATTATAATTCTTTAAAATGATTTAGTATTGTATTTTATTTACAGTGCATTACCGTTCAAAAGTTTGGGGTCGGTACGCTTTTTTTTTTTTTTTTGAAAGATGTCTTTTATGCTCACCAAGGCTGCATTTGTTCATTTAAAAATACAGTAAAAACAATTATAGTGAAATATTATTACAAGTTAAAATAATTTTTTTATGTTTTTAGTTTCCAGTGATGGCAAAGCTGTATTTTTATCAGCCATTACTCCAGTCTTTAGTGTCATACTAGCCTTCAAAAATCAATCTAATATGCTGATTTGCTGCTAATATTTTGCTAAAGAACACAGTTTATTTGAAATATAAATGATTAGTAACAACGCAAAAGTCTTTACTTTCATTGTTGACCATTTTACTGCATCCATGCTGAATAAAAGTATTAATTTCTTGAAAAAAAAAAAAACGTAGTGACCCCAGACTTTTGAACGATAATGTATTTCTAAAGAACTACAAGGAATGATTTTGTGCCTAGAACATAATAGTTCCTCTCACCTTGCTGGACCATTTCCGGGCCTCGTCGTGTAGCTGCCTGGCCGCCACCATCATCGGCTCGCTCACCATCTCGCCAGCTTTCTGCTCAGGGAACTCCTCATCTTTCTCCTCTGGGGGTGGAGGTCTCGGGGGAGGTACCTCTCCCTCTGGCAGGGGCGGTTTGGGGGGAGCCTGATCATCACTGACCTGACAGAATCATATGGGTGAGTAAATGATGACAGAATTGTCCCTTTAAGACCTGAATTGAAGCTTTAATGATGTAGAGCTGCAGCACTTACATGCAGCTGATCAAGGTCTGGAGGTGGAGGTGGAAAGTCAGGTTCCTGAGGCTGGAAGGCTTCTCTGACTTTCCCAACAGCAGCCAAGATCCTGTAGCCAGAGTCCAGGAAGCTCTTTTGAGAACCTGATCATTAGAAGAAAAAGATTTCTGTCAGTAACAGGAAGAAATTGTTTTCTATAAATGTATCCAGAACATTTACAAAAAAAAACCTGGATCCTGGATGTTTCCTGCCACGGCTTTAGCAGCCATAACCATGGGTGAGATAGTTCTACCAAGTTCATCTGAAGCAGCTTTGACCAGTTCTCTGAATTTAGGGTCCTCTGAGTTCTCCACTTCCCGTTTGGCCACCAGAAGGACCCTGTTAGCCCGCCGGGCAATGCTGGTGGCCCCTGCAACCAACATCTGGGGCTGAACGTTAGCCATTGCCACCCGGCATTTATCAATGTCTTTCTTAATGGCATTCTCTGAAGCATTCAAGAGGGATTTAGTGTCAATGGCTTCATCCACAAGACCTGGAATAAAGATTTTGAATATTTAAATGATTTTCAAAATATTTAATGTGGTATTTCATATGATATGAGCTTTTGCTTACTGGTCATTTTTTCAATGTTGTCAATCCATTGGTTCTTCATGGTCTCAAAGTGCTCGTATGCAGCCTGGTTGCCAGGGTTCTTCAGCAAAATGCGTGCAGCAGAAGTGACCTGCTCATGAGAACAACAAAAGACAGATACACACGTCAAACAAACACATTCGATCACAACCAGCTTAATAGTACTCATTCTGAAAGCCTTTATTGGTAGAATTATAAATAAACAGCAAAAATGCTGTGCACTGATATATCTTTGATATTCGAAAAATTTATTTAAAAAAATTTTTTTTTTACAAAGGCTGTCAAACTTACAGTAATGTGAAAAGTCCCACTTTTTAACAAAGAAAAAAGTTTTGTATGTTTTAAATTGAAATAATAGTGAGTGGTGAAAAAAATACTGACTTTATTATTGTGACAATACAAAAGCTAGTTATTTTAGAAACCCTCATAATTTAACACTCAATACTTTTCTCACACAGTCTTATTTTTAAGAATGAGGTCTCACTCAAGATCATCATCATATTTGGTATTATTTGGCATCAAAAAGCTTGAATGCCCCTGGAGACTTTGCTAATGTCCATACTGTGGCTAATGTTCAACTATCAGGTCAAGCATGCCATTATGTGCTCTTAAAGTAGCTCTGGCATAAGCACAGAGTTGGGCATCCACACACACACACACACACACACACACACACACACACACATATATACGTATGTATGTACATACATACAGTGCCGTGAAAAGTTTTTTGCCCCCTTCCTGTTTTTTACATTTTTGCATATTTGTCACAATTAAAAAGATTCAGATCATCAAACAAATTTTAATATTACACAAAGATAATGCAAGTAAATACAAAATGCCGTTTTTAAATGATGATTTCATTTATTAAGGGAAAAATGCTGTCCAAACCTACCTGGCCCTACGTGAAAAATGAATTGCCCCCACCTGTTAAATCATGAAAGAACTGCAATTCACCACATTATTTTAGAAAGCTGAGTTAAATTTCACTAGCCACACCCAGGCCTGATTACTGCCAGACCTGCTGAATCAAGAAATCACTTAAATAGAACCTGTATGACAAAGTGAAGCATGCTTAAAGAGCAACACATCATGCCGCGATCTAAAGAAATTCAAGAACAGATGAGAAACAAAATAGTTGACATGTATCAGTCTGGAAAGGGTTATAAAGCCATTTCTAAGGCTTTGGGACTCCAGTGAACCATGCTCAAAGCCATTATCCACAAATGGAGAAAACTTGGAACAGTGGTGAACCTTCCCAGGAGTGGCCAGCCACCCAAAATTACTCCAAGAGCGACGACTCATCCAGGAAGTAATAAAAGAACCCAGAACAACATTTAAAGAACTGCAGGCCTCACTTGATTCTGAAAAGAAGAGTGGGCCAAAATTCCTCCACAGCGATGTGAAAGACTCATTGCCAGTTATCGCAAACACTTGATTGAAGTTGTTGCTGCAAAGGGTGGCACAACCAGTTGTTTTCTTTAGGGCAAGGGGGCAATTACTTTTTTCACGTTGTGCTAAGCATGTTTGGATAGCTTTCTTCCCTTAATAAATGAAATCATTATTTCAAAACTGCATTTTGTATTTACTCGGGTTATCTTTGTGTAATATTAAAATTAGTTTGATCTGAATCATTCAAGTATGAAAAATATGCAAAAAAATTACAAAACAGGAAGGGGGCAAAAAATTTTCACACCACTGTATATGAGCTGCATACCTGAGGTGTTAGATCTCTGGATGATTTCACAGCCGCCTGGATGCCTTCAACTGTGCTCTTATTGGCTGTTCCCACGGCAGCAGCCTTCTCCGCTGTAGCACCCAGTCTACTGGCATGATTCTCAAAGTTAGACGCCCTTTCTTCAAAGACCTAGAGGGGAAAAAATACAAAAACTCAATTTTATAATTCATGTTATTAATTATAATGATTTTTAAAAAGAATTAATCATTTAGTTTTATTTATATACTATTATCGTTTTGGCCCCACTTTATATATATAAACTAAGTACATTTACTTGAGTATTGTACTTAAGTACACTTTTTGAGTATCGGTACTTTACTTGAGTATTATTTTTTCTGGAAACTTATGACTTTAACTTCTAAATATTAGTACAATTTAAAAAATTTTAAAAACATGCATGAACACAATAAGTGCATTGTACCAAATTATTCATTTAAATGTAAGTACATAGTTGTTAAAGGGGTCATATGATGCAATTTACATTTTTCCCTTTCTCTTTGGAGTGTTACAAACTCTTGGTGCATAAAGAAGATCTGTAAAGTTGCAAAGACTAAAGTCTCAAATCCAAAGAGATATTCTTTATAAATGTTACGAGTCAGCCACGCCTACCTAAAACGGCTCGTTCTAACACGCCCCCACATATCTACATCACTATCTGGGAAGATTTGCATAACGCTGCCCAAATGTTCACGCAAAGAAAGAAGGCGTAACTTTTATTCTCGCTGTAGTTTTGTTGTTTCTGCTGCCATGTCGTAAAGACGCTGTGTGCTTCGTTGTGAAAGCGAAACTACTTTGTTTGGTCTTCCAAAAGAGGACGATATCTGCTTCGTCATGCCTGGAGCTGATCCGTGCTGGTTGCTGAGGAAATACTTCAACTTTGCGCTGTGGATCGCCGGATCGGCTTTCATCGTGGACGAAGCGGAGTCCAGCCCGGAGTCGTCACATGTCCTTCTGGATGCTCCTTCGGCGAAATCGCCGGCCGCGCCGTTTTCAAGCCCACCCGCCTCTGCTCACTGTAGGCCGCCGTGTGTGACGCTGTTCCGTTGTGAAAGCGAAACTACTTTGTTTGGTCTTCCAAAAGAGGACGATATCTGCTTCGTCATGCCTGGAGCTGATCCGTGCTGGTTGCTGAGGAAATACTTCAACTTTGCGCTGTGGATCGCCGGATCGGCTTTCATCGTGGACGAAGCGGAGTCCAGCCCGGAGTCGTCACATGTCCTTCCGGATGCTCCTTCGGCGAAATCGCCGGCCGCGCCGTTTTCAAGCCCACCCGCCTCTGCTCACTGTAGGCCGCCGTGTGTGACGCTGTTCCGTTGTGAAAGCGAAACTACTTTGTTTGGCCTTCCAAAAATGGACACGACTAGAAATCAGTGGTTAAGTTGTATTTACAACACTGTTCCAGAACACTTCAACCCAAATATTCAGATGTGTGCAGCACATTTTATGGAGGACTGTTTCCTGATCCTGGTAGAGTAGACTACAATCCTGGCTGTTCTGACTCAAAGACTAAGTACGTTTTTTTATATTTAAAGAGTTATATTTTATATATTTAAAGCGAGTTTTTTGGGCAGTGTAGAGTAGGGCTTGTTGATTGTCATTTCTCCGATCACAAATGCAGACATGGTTTTATGTTTACGCGGCGCGATGCAATGCAACGCGTAAGAAGACAGTATAAGTCATTATAATCTACAATTATGTCCCCACTGGATGCAACGAACGCCTCGTTTATAATGGGTTTTCATGTTTTTGAATCATCGCTCCAGCCCAGTGTTGCCAACTTCTTTCAATAGAAAGTAGCTAAAGCCAGTTTGAAAAGTCGCTAAATGTCGCCAGATGACGTCATACGCGAATTAGCATATTCATGACGTCATCGCGTCTGTTGCCTTTTACATTTGTTTGTCTCTCTGTACTCACATTCTGTATTTTAATGCAGCCAAATTCTCAGTAAAATTGGTTTCATTTATATATATTACTGTTTCTGTTGTCAGACAACAGAATAAATATGAAATAGTGACTGAAATGCGGCCCTTTAAGACTACATAACCAGCTCTCCCTTCCAAGACGTTAATCTGCACAAAAATCCTGAAAAAGGTGTGCGTGCTGACCTCACGCCGCTGCGTCAGTACCAGCGATTACAGAAGCTGTGTCTCATCTCGAATCCTCTGGAGGTCGCATCCTCTGTAGGATGCATATACGAAGTGTCCTCAACCTAGAATTAAATGAGATGGCCTTCGTAGGACGGGCGGAAAAGGAAACAGGAAGTATCACGTTGCTATGCCAACACATTTAGAGCATTGTTGCGCTCTCACACTATTTAAATTAAGGAAAATTATTTCTAAATTTGGAAAGTAATTTGAAAAAAAAAAAATGCTTTTACTTGTTTTACTTTGTTCAATGTTTGAGGAGCTGCATCGTATGTACAGCAGACATCTGTTAGAGAAGAAAAAAAGGAGGAGGATATTAAAAACAAAGTTTATCCGTTTTTACCGAGGCGATTTAAGGTAAGTTGTAAACACCACATTTGCGCTTGCGCATCTGCCGGCGCAGGCATTTTTCAAATGAACAACGGTTGTTTACGGCGACGCAAAGAATTGTGGGTTATCTGTAGCAGCGAAGGATACACCTCATACATCCTCCAAATTCCTGTGAAAGAAGGTCGCACTGGAAGGTCGCATTCGGAGTGTCCTACTTGCTTTTCTGAAATGAGACAGCCTCAATGACGTATGCAGCCTTCGAATGCGACCTCCGGAGGGTGCAGCCTTCCAAATGAGACACAGCTCGCTAAGGTTTGTCCAAGAAGTCGCTAGATTTGTTGCTAGTCGCTTTTTGGGAAAAAAAGTCGCCAAGGGGTCTGACAAGTCACTAAATCTACACTGGCAACACTGCTCCGGCCGGACAGGGCATCATCACAATATAGTGAGGGGCGTAACATTTCCATCTCACGCTCGAGGTATTCGGCCAATCACAATGCATTGGATAGCTGGCCAATCAGAGCACGCCTTGCTTTTTCAGACCGATGAGCTTTGTAAAAATCTACGTGTTTCAGAAAGGCGGGGCATAGAGGAGAAATAATAATGTACAGTATGTGGAAAATAATGTGCTTTTTGAACCTTAAACCGCATAAGCACAATTCATTACACAAAATACTGTTCTTTTTAGCAGCATCATATGACCCCTTTAAGGCCACTTAATATAAAGTGGGTCCATAGTTTTTGTTAATATTTTGAATCAAAATTTCATTTTTATATTTAGTTTTCACTTTAAATTTTAAAGTTTTAGTAATTTTGTTGTATTTTTGTTATTTGAATAAGTTTTTATATGTCTGTATAGTTTTTATAAATGATTATTGTTAGTTTAATTAGTTTTAGCTATTTTAGCACTTCAAGTTAAACTAACCAAAAATGAGAAATGTTGCCTTGGCAACTAAATTTTATTATATTATATTTTATTTTAATTAACGCTAATTTTTCTTTAAGTAATCATTTTTTAACGGTTTTAGTTTTAAGTAACTATAATAACTGTACAGTAACTATAATAATTAGAAAAAATAATGATTTTGTGAATTCCTTTGAAATAAAAAATAACCCTAAGAATAAAAGTTTTTATTCGCTTCTAAAAATGGCGAAAGTCTTTTTACAATTAGGTTTAGGGCTTGGAATGCTTTGTGTGAATTAGCATATTTGATATGACACTGAAAAGCATGCTGGGCACTCTGTATATTCAGCTGACCTCCTCTCTGTTGGGGGCCTCAAGAGGCGCTGTTGCTGCCACAGCCAGGAGTTTAATTGGTGTGGTCGTATCACTGAAAACATCAGACACCTCCTGGGTCATTGCTTCCTGCATCTTAGCCTTGAGATCCTTAAAGGGAAAATATGATATGATGAGGTCATTTAAATTTACAGTCAAAAACAAAAAAAATAATTTTTGATGAAAACAGAATAGGGAAAAAAAATTGTGTAATGCAAATATTTTCCAGCAGAGGGTGGCATTTGCTTATATGTGACCCTGGACCACAAAACCAGTCTTAAATCGCTTGGGTATATTTTTAGCAATAGCCAAAAAAACATTGTATGGGTCAAAATTATCGATTTTTCTTTTATCATGTTCCATGAAGATAATTTGTAAATTTCCTACCGTAAATATATCAAAACGTAATTTTTGATTAGTAATATGCAGTGCTAAGAACTTCATTTGGACAACTTTAAAGGCTGCTACGCTACGCCTACGTCATCCTGTCAACCTGTGGAGACGTGCTGAAATCACGTTTGGTCTCGTACTGTATCGCGTACCTTGTCAGTGTCGTGCGCTTTGCTTGGCCATTTGTTGTGATAGACAGGAAAGTGTGTCCAGCTGAATTCAATTTGAGTTTTGTTAAACGAATAAAAAAGAAGCTTAGTTTGCTGCGGTCGTGTTAAGACCGAAGAGTGTAAAGACCATTGACTCTACCGTGAAGTATCGCTTTTTATTTCTCCTCTTTCCTACTACTTGTTTCACTTCTGTTTCAGTTTTTTATAACCATTTCTTACTATGTGTCAGTTGTTATTTTAGCATGTGTGTTTGGCTCAGTGTTCTTCTTTTTTAGGATTACTGATAAACTAATGTAGTTTGATTTGTATTAGTTATCTGTTTTAGTTACAGTTGTAGTAATGTTGTCATTTTATTAGTTTTTTATTATGTCTATATAGGCTTTTTATTAAGTTTTAGTTCTGTTTAATTTGAGTTATTTCAGTACTTCAACATACAAAATGGAAATGAAAAAATAATGTATTTATATATATGTACATGTATATGTATATGTGTGTGGCTGTACATACACATGTAAGTTAGTTGTTTTTTGGTGTTTGGCTTAGTGTTATGTTAGAATCATTATTATACTCATACCTTTTGTTCTTTTAATATTTTGAATTGTTTTTAGCTTGATTTTTTTGTTTTCATTTAAATGTTTAGTTTTGAAATATTGTTGTATGCATTTGTCATTTTTATTTAATTTCTTTTATTTTCTTAAATGTGTGTATATATATATATAGTATTTATAGAGTTTTAGCTTTTAGTTTTAATTACTTTTTCTTATTTGTAAGTCGCTTTGGATAAAAGCGTCTGCTAAATGACAAAGTAAAAGTAAAGTAAAAGTCATCCGCTGGAACGCCTCTCTCTCGTGACCGTGCGTGCGACAGTTAGCGGAAGCTAGAGATTACAGTTTATAAAGTTTTAAATATGCATATTTTTCTTACACAAACACATCGATTCACTTCAGAAGGAAGTGTGGAGTACTTTTTATGATGGATGGATGCACTTTATTTTGCTTCAAAATCTCAACCACCATTCACTGCCATTATAAAGCTTGGAAGAGCTTGGACATTTTTTTATGTAACTCCAATTGTATTCGTCTGAAAGAAGGATGTCATATACACCTAGGATTGCTTGAAGGTGAGTAAATCATGGGGTGATTTTAATTTTTGGGTGAATTATCCCTTTAAAGTTAATTAACAATGAATGGTAATTAAGTTAGCAAGATGACAAGGTCTGTGGTATCAAGATGCAATTTTATGATGTGATAGTATGTCCCAATACTGGTCTTGCCATACACTCGAAATTGTGGATTTTCCCCAAACTTTTAGTGCATAGTGTAAGCATGTGAACTGGGACAAGCCCTGGTACTAAACTGTGCAGCTCTGGTCTAGAGTTAATCCAAGACTAAGTTAACCTGAATGTAACATGACCTGCTGTGAATAGGACACGAAGCAGCTATTTATGGTTTGAAATATTTTAAGTATGAACATAAATACAACAGGGACAGAGGAAATAGCCATCTGTCACATCATATAAAGGTCCCGAGTCAAGTGGGTAGTTCCATTCGAATGGATAAGTCATTCAATATGCCAGTGTTATCCTTTGGGGGAAAAGTAATAGCCTCAGATGACCAGATGAGTATTTTACTACACTAATAACAGACACAGATATAATAACAGTTATTGATTCAATTCTAAATGTAAATGTTTTACCAAGCTGGTTTTTTTGTTTAAGGGGCAATGTTTTACCTCATTTTGCCACCCACCTACTCCATGATCATCCACTCCAGGGTTGTTGATCCAGTGCAAGGCCTGCTCCATTTTGCCGTCTAGTGTAACAGCAGCCTTGGCAGGTCTCATGTTGGCCACAGCACGGTTAGTTTTTGCCTGTAAGTTCTGCAAAGCTGTGCCAATCTGCTTGGCCAGCGCTCTAGCCTCAGGAGTATCTCCTTTACCCCTGTGGCACAAAAAAAGGGCAGAACATGAAATTTAACACAAAAAAATTATCACATTTATAACAAAATTACCATGAGGATAAGACAAGAAATAAATAAAAGAATCATTGAGACATTTCTGTGATGGCAAATCTACATTTCTTATTAAAACAAATATTTCTTTTTTTTTTATGTTGCAAACAGTTTAATATTTTTGTAAAAACGGTGATACATTTTTTTTTTAAAGATTATTTGACGAATAGAAAGTTCTAAGAACAGCATTTAGTTGAAACAGAAATCTTATAATAACATTATAATTGTCATTCCTGTCACTTTCGATTGATTTGAATACTTTCTTTCTAAAAAAAAACATTTAAGATAATATTGTAATTATAATAAAAATATTCTTATAATTTCATTATATTATGAAAGCTCTAAGAGTCACATCAGGCACATTATCCTGGTTACATAATCTGTCCTAACCATGAACATGATGCTGGTTTATCAAGTTAATATTTTTCCTCATGTGCTGATCAAAGACACAACATTATCTAAACATGACAGACTGGCATGACTGATATCAAGCTTCAAACCATCTGTCCTTTGAAAGTGGAAAGAACACTTTGAATCTTCCTGTTAATTAAAGGACTCTAACCATATGTACTGTAGGTCTATAATTACATTTTACGAAGTTCAACCAGTCTCGCAGTGAGTCCTGCGACCTCACTGATGGAGCGCAGAATGTCGTCTCTCTCTTTAGGGTTTTCACACAGGTCAGCGATGCGCTTGGCCTCTGCCAGAAGAGCACGGATGTTCTCTTCCCCCTCCGGACCACCGTTAGGATCAGCCAGCCAGCTCTGTACAGAAACAACCATTCACACAACAAGTTCCGTTACAAATGATATTACTGTCTTAATCCTTTCATACTTAAATGTGAATATTAATGTGTTTGTTTATTTAATATTTTATTTGCCATTTTAAAAGTAAAATAGTGTTTTTTTATTTTATTTTATCAGTAAATGGTGTGTTTTTAATTTATTTTGCATCGCTAGAACTATGCTTACTAGTTAGTTAGCACTATCTTCAAAAGTAAGCTCTTCTGTTCCCTTATTATCAGAACAAACATACTAGACTGACACTTGTCAACATTTCCGGTTTTGAATTTGAAGGGATATTTATAGTCATATTGTCATTCAGCATAAGGTTATATAATGTTATATAATCATATAGTTTGCTGTCATCTGAACTCATCTGTGGTTTTCTGTCACAGCACTGACAGCACAAGGATTCTTTCTGTTTTTCTATTATACACCCTTTAAATACTTATGAGTCACAGCACATCTCCACTAAATAACATCAGACCAGACAGATTTATGTAACATCTCTTTAAATGAGGACATGTCTGTAATTAAGAGGAACCATTTTAAGTACCCCACACGTCCTCTGGGATGCAAATACAATCTCTTCAAATCTGTAAATAAAGTAAAAATGAACAATATTATAAAATCTTAACAATAGACTGAAATAAAAATATAACTTTTAGGGAAAACGCTTCACATATCTTTTGTTGTTGACATCAATGGCCAGTTGTAAAGAGACAGTTGTTTATATTGGTATGATTGGGTATAACTTTGGTACTTTGTTGCCTTGTCAATTGAGTCTCCAAGCAAAACCAACTGAGCACCACTCAAGAAAGACTGAACACGCCAATCCACTAAGGAAACATGCTTCAAGACTGACCTGGGCCGTGTCGATCCTCTTGGCGATGGCTTGTTTGGCATTGGTCAGGGCTTCCAGCTTTCGAGCAGCATTCTCCACTTTCCCCACCAGAATATCCAAACCCTGGCCCACCTGCTGAGCTTTCTGCATACCCATAGGGGTGGCACCCTGACCTCTGAAGAAACAGTATAATATAATATCTCTATCTAATAGTCTCTCCAATGAAGTCAGAGCCCAGTGTCTGATCTTTCACTTTCACTCCAGCTTTCAACATCCCTGACATATGGACCCAAACTGTACCACACCATTCCTTCCTTCTCCTGTACTCAGCAGTCAGGGATAAACAATCCCTGGAGAATTAGACCACTAACAAACAACGTCTAAACTGTGTTTATTGAAAAACCTGACACACTTTCTCGTGTTGTAAATTAGAAGCAGTTACAGCCCCTGAGAAACATCACGCAGGGTTAATGCTTTGTATAAATGGTGATGAATATCATTATGAACGGCACACAGCTGCATTAATGCATAATTCAGCTCACGCGAGCGCCACAGGAACATGTGGTGGCATTTGGCTCTCAGTGTGAAATGCTGAACTGAGGAATCTCGTAGTCGGTTGAATCAGCAGTATAATGGGCTTTGATTATAATTCTACCTTTTCTCCGGGTGCACCTGAAGGGGGCATACCTGGCGCGCACATCTGACACCTGATCCGTCATCTGGCCCAAGGTCTTGGCCGTTCCCAGGATCTCTCGTCTTTCTTTCCCCGCACAAAGCTCACCCACTTTTCCTGCTTCATCCAGTATCTGATGCAGCGCATGCTCTCCCGGATCTCCTGTACAAGAACGTCCAGAGCAGGTGTCACAGACATAGTGCTAGGCCACTACACACATAATCCATTTCAAATGATGCACATTACACAAATATTATGTACATAAAAAATATACAAATTACATATTAGTACCTTTTGAAAGGGTACCACCCCAGTGACAGCTTTTGGACCTTTGTAAGTTTGGAGTCTATAAGTTTGTTTTCTTAATAAGAAATTAATACTTTTATTCAGTAAGAATGCATTAAATTGTACACTGAATTGTAAAAATAACAGTGAAGATATTTATAATGTTCCAAACGATTTAGATTTCAAATAAATGCTGTTCTTTTAACTTTCTATTCATCAAAGAATCCTGATTAAATCCTGTTTTTTTTAGCACCAAATGAGCATAAAAGAATGATTTCTGAAGGATCATGTGAGAGTGATGACTGGAGTAATGACTGCTAAGAATTGAGCTTTGACATCACAGGAATCATCAAAAAACATTTTAAAATCATACTGACCCCAAACTTTTGATCAGTAGTGTATTCCATACAGGACTAGTTACAGGGATCATATTATTGTTCCCCAAAAATTAGGGAATTATTTTAATTATTAATCATTTAATGATTTTCTTTTTTAATTATTATTAAATTAATTTAATTTTTTCCCTAATAATATTGTAATCTCAAAAACATGCATAATTCGTTTTTTCATTACCCCTTTTTTCCCACTGTATAATCAATCTCTCTGACCTGTATAATCAAATGACTCCATTGTACATGCTCCCTTAGCATGTGAAATGAGATACAGGTCCAAATAGACATCATTAATGCATACATTTTAGCGATCGTGTGCATGTGCTCAAATCTGAAAGTTGCAAAACAATTTGTAATTTCTGCAGCATAGTTTCAATAAATGGTCTTATTTTACTTTAGAAGTTTTGACTGAAAGTCACAGTGTTTCTAGCACAAAAAGCTGAAAAATCACAATGCGCTAATGGATGTTATGTTACCTGGTAGACCGCTAGGGTCCCTCAGCCAGCCTTTAGCCTGACCCATCTTTGACTCGATCAATGCTAGCGCTCTCCTCATGGCCTCTGTGTCCTTCAGAGAGAAAGAGTGTGTTAGTCAGTAATGTCTGTCATATTGGCCCACAGGGCAGGATGTCATAGCATGGAACTGAGTGGTTACAGCTTTTTGTTGCAGTTGCAGTTTATGTGCTCATATGAAAGAGTAGATGCTGAAGGGAGGGTCTCTGCACCTCTTTCCCTCTGACGGGCAGGAGGAGCCTCTGCCTCTCTCAATCACACACACAAAGTGCGAGAGCGGCCCATATAATCACCACGCACACATTTGAAGAAAAGCCCGTCTGGTTCGGTAACTCAGCCGTGCGTATGGCACTCCTCTCTACTGCAGTCTAAAGCAATAGTCATCTGCACAGGCAATGCATTCATATCAAGAGCACAACACTGAAAGACAAATGAAGGGCATGGGTGTGAAATTAGGTTCAGGACAAGTATCAAGGTCATGCCTTCAATATTGATGCCTCAAAATATTAAGGGTTATTGAGGAAATGCGTGCTATGAATTTTCTAAGCAATCAGACTTATAACTTTTGCTTGGTGGCAATTATTAAAGGGGTCATATGATGCTATTTTAAAGATCATTATTTTGTGTATTTGGTGTAACAGAATATGTTGACATGCTTTAATGTTCAAAAAACACATTATTTTTCAAATACTGTACATTATTGTAGGTCCTCTATGCCCCGCCTCTCTCAAACACGTTGACTTTAATACCCTAACAAAACCTGAGCATCCATTGATAACACCTTAGCAATTGAAAACATGCGTAATGCATTATTTTACAAAGTTTTAAATAAAACAAAGATTACTGGAGTAGGTTAAAAAACTTTTACTTCTTGAATTTAAATTTAATGTGTTACTTGCAAAGTTATTATAGTTAACTAAAACTAAAACCATAACAATTACGTTATGAACAAAATAAATAAATAAATAAATAAATAAATAAAACCATAACCCTAATGTTATTTGAAATCAAATTTAAAAAGAAAAAAAGAAAAACATAATTTTGGCTAGTTGCCAACATTTCTCATTTTATAATTTCACAATAACTTGATGTACTAAAATAAAAAAATAAAAAAAAATAAAAAAGTAAAAATTTATAGAAACTATACAGACATATACACTACTAAAAATGACAAAAACACACAGCAAAGTTACTAAAACTTTAAAATAAAAATGAAAAATATAAAAATTTAAATGATTAAAAATATTAATAAAACTAAAAATGTTTTCAGTGTACTTCCGCCATATTTGCATCTTTATATCTTTTGACTTGTGGCAGTGTTTTGAGGCCCCACGTGGGGCCCCGCTGGCCCCTGAGGGTCTCAGTCTTTCTACTAATATATCATTAAGACATTCTTTTGACTTGGTGCAGCACACATTCTGGCCACAAGTTTTGTGGCAAGCACCACTCAAGATACTGATCTGAAAATCTACAGATCTAGTTTTGCTTTGTTGTCTTTAATTCAACAAGACAAGACAATAATGGACCTTTAAAAAGACTTAGAATTGTGCTTGTGGCCTTTCCAGCAGGAGACACTCTGGCAGCTGAAGCAGCAGTTTCTGGCAGGAAATTAACCCTTCACACCTGCGCATGCTGTCTATTACACTCCATCTCACCGGTAAAATACTGTATATTACAATTTCTCTAAAATATGCAGCTAGATTCATGTCAGCCAGCTTTTATAAATCCATATAAAAAAGCCTGAATATAGTTTGTGGTTATCCTGAAGCAGAATTGAAGCACAAGTATAACCGATGAGTCTTCTCTCAGCTAAAACGAATTATCCACCCAATCCATTTCCTTTGCCTGCTTTGCCTGCCTGCTATCCAGTAACTGCTGCTTTCAAGCCAACCGTTCAGCATCTAGCAAGACAGATCACATTATTTCTAAGTTGATGTGTCATTTCCTATTTGTGTGCATTATTGGATAGATTCAGCTCATGGTTGGGTTTCATTCGGGTTTTTATAGTTCTTTTTACTTCAGATATTATTGCAGAAAAAAACAATTCAATGTAGTAAATGCATTTCAAATGTTTAGGGTCAGTCAGATTTTTTTACTTCTTTTTTCAATCATTTTTACTTTTAACTTTTACTTAGGAAGGATCCAAAAGTGACTGTAAAGACTTTTACAATTTTACAGACGATTTATATTTCAAATAAATGCTGTTGAACTTTCTATTCATAAAAGAATCCTGAAAAATGTTTCTCAGTTTCCTCACAAACAAGAACAACAGTTTTCAACATTGATAATGATAAGAAATGTTTCTTGAGCACCAAATCAGCATATTAGAATGATATCTGAAGGATCATGTGACACTGAAGACTGGAGTAATGACTGCTGAAAATTCAGCTTTGCCATCACAGAAATGCATTACAATTTATGCTGTATTTTTTAAATAAAAATTCACAATATTACTGTACAATATTTACTGTATTTTTGATCAAATAAATGTAGCCATTAACAGAGACTACTTATAAAAACAAAAAAACAACCCCAAACTGACCGTTAGTGTATAGAAAAAATTTACATTATATGTGACCCTGGACCACAAAACCAGTCATAAGGGTCAATTTCTCGAAATTGAGATTTATGCATCATCTAAAAGCTGAATACATAAGCTTTCCATTGATGTATGGTTTGTTAGGACAGGACAATATTTGGCCGAGATACAGCTATTCTGGAAAATCCGGAATTTGAGGGTGCAAAAAAATCTAAATATTGAGAAAATCGCCTTTAAATTTGTCCAAATGAAGTTATTAGCAATGCAGATTACTAATCAAAAATTAAGTTTTAATATATTTACAGTAGGAAAATTACAAAATATCTTCATGGAACATGATCTTTACTTAATATCCTAATGATTTTTGGCATAAAAGAAAAATCTATAATTTTGACATATACAGTGTATTTTTGGCTATTGCTACAAATATACCCCAGCGACTAAAGACTGGTTTTGTGGTCCAGGGTCACATATATTTACATGTAAAATGTATAAAAATGAACCTAATTCTTGCTTTAGAATTTAATGTTGCATTAGTATTTCACATACTGTATAACAAGCAAAGAGTTCAGAAATAGGCCAGGACGTCTAAACCTGATCAATATTTCATGATGGAGTCAGACGGCCTGTTTGAACAATCTCCACTTGAATATGCATTCTGCTTATGTGCTTGATCTCATGACGGATATCTCAAGCTGTGGAGAATTACAATATGGAAGTAGACTGTTGCTGAGTTACAATGATGAACTTACTCTTCAAGAATAAGACACTGGAAAGCTGAAACATTATTAAGCTGGCTGACAACATCTGTCTCCCTTTAGCTAACAGAGTAAATAATGTCAAGAAAGATTTGGGCCAACTGTACTAAGGTTATTGGCTGACAAAAGCTTCGAAATTGTTATATAGAGAATTTCAAATAAATGCAAAATTTATATTACTGAATTAGGAAAGAAGTGAAAGTAATTTTCTGATTACGGTTTTGAGTGAAACAATAAATGAATCTATGCATTGGATTTTTCTTCCATAATTCATTCCCCGCAAATGGACTTTGTGTTGTGTGAATGAGGGAGCTGAAGAGCAATAACTACGTCAATCCATCTTTCATGTTGTCAGTCATAAGGCACAAGGGAGCCCAGAGTCAGAATTGAGTATCAATTCAATTTTGCCTTAAGACAAAAGCAAGTAGGTCCAATGCTAAATGTATGCTACATTCAAAAGATTGAAAATGTACTGCATCAGAATGATTAGTAGATTAGCTAACCATTTATCACCAAATGGTCTCTGTATATCTCAGATATGTATTTTCTTACAAAGGAAATTTAGGCTCACGCAAAATCAAAGTTTTGATATGCTATACTCCTAAAAAAACAGATGAACTCTTAGTACATGCAAATTAGTACATTTAAAATGTACATTATTTCTTTTCAGGGAGAATGAACAAAAATATTGATTATTCTTCTTGCACTCAGAGGCGTATAAAAAAAATGTGGTCCATTAAAATCCATTTTTGGTCCATTAAAATGGGCCGTTGTCTGATGAAGAGCCACATGGCTTGAAACATAACTTTTTGTGAGAACTTGCTATAAATATTTTTTCTACTTTTGGAGCTATGCTGTGCCAACTTGTTTTCTTCCTAGCTTGTTATTTTTTGTAATTGAGCACCCACACTGCACTTCTTTGCCTGCTAGATGTGCATACTTTTTTGTTACATTTTTGGTGACCATTAAAATCCTCTCAAAAATGTTACTTTAACATGAAAATCACATTCCTCCAACTAGCAATAGCCAGTGCCTCGTGACTAAACTAGGTCTGCTCTAATATGGCAAAAATCATAATCACGATTATTTTGGTCAATATTGTAATCATGATTTTTTAACACGATTATGAGTGGGCCACATGACCAAAATTTTATACGAGTGATTCATTTAAAGATAGCGATATATATCAAATATATATTTTCTGTAAATGAGGTTGCTATGACATGTATTTACATAATCGTTGGAGGTCGAAATCAAAACTGTATTTCAATTAATTGCACAGCTCAAAAATTAACCACTTGAAATTGCTAAACTAAAAGGTAAAATATAGGCTATTGGCTATTTTAATAAAAAGAGGTCCAATATATCCCACTGTAATTTCCTATTTTAACAGGAAATACGTAAACACGAAAGCAAACTGCAATCGTCAAGCCACTTCATTGGGTCTTTAAAAGTGGGAATAGCTGTGTATCAGGAGTGTCCAAATGAGGGATGAAGTGAGACTGAAGTAAATATGGAAGTGGAGGGTGAGTGATGGCACAGTGTCATTCTACGACACATCTGAAAACAAACCCTCTAATTGCTATTTATTGTTTTGTTTTGGTACTGTGTTTCTGCTGTATACAGGGATAAAGCATATAAAAATGGCAAGCCAGGCTGAGGAAAAAAAGGCTTCTATCAAACATCATGCAGGAAAAAAACAAGAATGAATATACTAACACACACACATACTGTTAGCAACACAATGATCTGGCATGCAGTTTGTCGCATTACAGAGCAGGAGAGAGGAGAGCTTACCTTCTATAGGAAAGGAAAAAATGGAAGAACACAGAAAAGAAAGAGCAAAAAGAAAGAGGCATTTTTACAGAGTTATACCAGGGCAAACAGAAAAACAGAGGTGACAGCAAAGTAAATGAAAGCTTAGGAAACTGATTTTCAGAGTAGAGTGATTTCTTATGGAAATATTTAATATGCATGCTCAGCAAGCAGGGTGTCATCAGTCAGCGAGGGATCAAATGATTCAGTAGGCTTCATGAAATATTGAAACGCAGATCATTAATCTTACTGTTAAACACTGATGCCATGTGTACAGTATATGGTGATATTTTTCCACCTATGCTGGTTATCAGGCCTGTGTTTTTATATCATATAGTCAGTGAATTCTGAGCCTGACTGTGAACAGTGTTGGGAAATGGAACAGATTATTACATTAGCAGGAAGGGAGTGTCACATTCATTCAGGGAGAAAAACAAAGATACACCAAGGGGTCTCAATAGAGCGCAGCAGTGACTGCCCACTTTTGAAGTGGCCATGTATTATTTCTGTCAATTTATTATATTCATATAAAAACGATGCATTAAGAGCCTGGAGGCGAAAACTTTTTGATTTGAAGATCAGGGTAAATTTATTAAACTTATTTTGTCTTCGGTGAAACATGTAAGTATCTTCTGTAGCTTCTGAAGGGCAGTACTAAATGGAAAAAAAAAAGATATTTAGGTAAAATAAGGAAAATGTACACATTCATTCAAGTCAAAAGTTTACACCCCAGGCTCTTAATGCATGGTTTTTCCTTCTGGAGCATCAGTGAACGTTTGAACCTTCTGTAATAGTTGCGTATGAGTCCCTCAGTTGTCTTCAGTGTGAAAAGATGTATCTCAAAATCATACAGTCATTGTTGGAAAGGGTGCAAATATGCAAAATATGCTGGAAACCAAAGAATTTGTGGGACCTGATGGATTTTTCTGAAGAACAGTGGGCAGTTTAACTGTTCAGGACAAACAAGGGACTCGTGAACAACTATCACAAAACAAAACGAAAAACAGCTGTGGGTCATCCAGGTAACAACACAGTATTAGGAATCAAGCATATATGTAAACTTTTTAACGGGTCATTTTTATAAATTCAGCTATTATTTTCTCTTGTAGACTATTTGTAAACGTCTTTTATGTGAAATATCTTATTCAAGTCAGTACTAAATAAAAAAATAACACGCATTTTGTATGATCCCTCTTATTTTGGTAAAATAAAAAAATGTTGTGCATATATATATATATATATATATATATATATACACTCACAAATAGTTTGCCACTAGGGAGACTGACTCGGCTACATCATTTGCAATGCTTTCGAAGTAGGTGATCAACGCCAAGATATTTTGCTTCAGTGTGAAAAGATGTATCTCAAAATCATACAGTCATTGTTGGAAAGGGTGCAAATATGCAAAATATGCTGGAAACCAAAGAATTTGTGGGACCTGATGGATTTTTCTGAAGAACAGTGGGCAGTTTAACTGTTCAGGACAAACAAGGGACTCGTGAACAACTATCACAAAACAAAACGAAAAACAGCTGTGGGTCATCCAGGTAACAACACAGTATTAGGAATCAAGCATATATGTAAACTTTTTAACGGGTCATTTTTATAAATTCAGCTATTATTTTCTCTTGTAGACTATTTGTAAACGTCTTTTATGTGAAATATCTTATTCAAGTCAGTACTAAATAAAAAAATAACACGCATTTTGTATGATCCCTCTTATTTTGGTAAAATAAAAAAATGTTGTGCATATATATATATATATATATATATATACACTCACAAATAGTTTGCCACTAGGGAGACTGACTCGGCTACATCATTTGCAATGCTTTCGAAGTAGGTGATCAACGCCAAGATATTTTGCCACCATTACTATTTCCGCAATATCCAGTAGCCCCTCACTGCAGAACACAAGATCCAGGGGGTGTGGTTGGATCCACATCTAGGGGGTGGAGATTGGTAGGTTTAGGGGTGGAGATGGGTGGGTTTAGGGATTAGGGGGTGGAGACGGGTAGGTTTAGGTGTATGTAAGGTGGGAGGAGTTGGATCTGAATCCAACCATGCCCCCTGGATCTTGTGTTCTGCAGTAAGGACCATCTCACAATATCAGTGACTTTACAGATTTTTATTTTGTTTTTTTTTATTAAAATGTAAAAATCACACCGAAAGATTGACACATTATCCCTAAAAGTAAATTTCTCTATGGAAGAAATGTATGAGATTTTGACTTCTCTCTACCACTGCCACTGACACGTCTTTTGTAAACACAGTACAATAACTTTATTTATTTATTTATATAAAATGTATTTATTTGTAACTTGCCCAGGGACTGCAAGACATTAGTTGTCTAACCCAGGGAAGCCAACATAGCTTACTGTAACTGTTTAAGGTGGGGTTTTAGAAAGGAGTCTATGTATGTATGTATGTACATGATAAAGCTCATACTTTGTTGGCCCAGGCATCCTCGTCCCATGAAGTGAGTTGCAGCACTCTGATTATCTCATTGATTTCAGCGCTCATCTTCTCAAACGTGTAGTTTCTGTTCTTCAAGGCCTCCTCCACACCATGACTCTTGGTGCACTTGGTTGTCACAAAGATTTTAATGGCTGATGGGTATCAAAAAACAATTTTGTTAGTCCTCCCTTTCATGGGCTATCTAAAACCGTTGTACAGATAAAGATGAGAGTGTGGTTTATATCTGATGTGTCCAAAAATCAAGCAACTAATTATCACCATATGAGTAGACAAATTTGCAAACATCGGCATTAAAAGCCTTTCTGCATGTGCAGATGAGCTGCCATCAACCTGGCTATTTATTGCTGAGCCAACAGCAGAAAGCCAACTGGATGAAGGGAAAAATCTATCCCTCCCCGCAAGACGGTTAAATGGCTCCAATTATCAGTGTTGCCATATCAACGAGCTGGCACACAAAGACCACACACACACACACACACACACACACACACAGCAGTTCGCTGTCTCTCACCTGATATAAGCACAGGCAGCAGTTCCTTCACTGTGTTCATGGAGGTGACCAGCATCACACGGTGCTCCTGGTGTGTCAGCTCCTGTTGCCTCTCGTCAATCATCTTTGCCATTTTTGTCATGCCTAACAAATTCATACATCAATACAGTGATGATGTAGAGGTCAAAAATAGATGTTCATTTTGTGATTTGCCAAAGATTACATTTAACAGTGTAATTATATTAGATTTTTAAAGATTAACTTTAAGTGAGCATGATGACAACAAGGGTAATCTATGTAAAAATAAGCATGAACAATTAAACATCCAAGTCGATACATGTATATCCAGTATCAAAATCAAAAAATATACAGTGTTCAAATGTTTGGGGTCGGTAAGATTTTTAAATGTCTTTGAAAAACGTCTCTTATGCTCACTTAGGCTGCATTTATTTGATAAAAAAAAAAACACAATCATATTGTGAAATATTATTACAACTTAAAATAACTGTTTTACATTTTATTATATTTTAAAATGTAATTCACCCCTGTGATGGCAAAGCTGAATTTTCAGCAGCCATTTCTTATTATTATCATCAATCAGTGTTGAAGACAGTTGTGCTGCTGATAGGATTAGTTCACTCCAGAATTAAAATTTCTTGATAATTTACTCACTCCCATATCATCCAATATGTTTATGTCTTTCTTTCTTCAGTCCAAAAGAAATTAAGGTTTTTTAGGAAAACATTCCAGGATTTGTCTCCATATAGTGGACAGTGGGGATCAACAGGCTGAAGGTCCAAATTGCAGTTTTAAAGGGGTCATATGATGCTGCTAAAAATAACATTATTTTGTGTATTTAGTGTGATGAAATGCGTTTATGCGGTTTAAAGTAAAAAAAAACACATTATTTTCCACATACTGTACATTATTGTTTCTCCTCTATGCCTCGCCTTTTTGAAACGTGTCGATTTTTACAAAGCTCATCGGTCTGAAAAAGCGAGGTGTGCTGTGTTTGGCCAGCTATCCAATGCGTTGTGATTGGCCGAATACCTCAAGCATGAGACGGAAATGTTACGCCCCTCACATACTGTTGATGCCGTGTCCCGGCCGGAGCGACGAGACAAAAACATTAAAACCCATTACAAACGAGGCATTTGTTGCATCCAGTGGGGACATAATTACTGATTATAATGACTTATACTGTCTTTTTATGCGTTGCGTTGCATTGCATTGCATTGCGCCGCGTAAACATAACATAACATAACCCAAAACTCACGTTTGAATCATCAGTGGCAAATCCTTTAAATGAAAACGTACTTACGTGAGTCAGAACTGCCGGCATTTTAGTCTAACATTACTCTCCCAGGATCAGTAAACAGTCCTCCATAAAATGCACTGCACACATCTGGATATTTGGGTTAAACTGTTCTGGAACAGTGTTGTAAATACAACTTAACCACTGATTTGTAGTCATGTCCTCTTTTGGAAGACCAAACACAGTAGTTTCACTTTCACAACGAAGCACACAGCGTCTTCACGACATGGCTGCAGCGTCAACAATACTACAGCGAGAATAAAAGTTACGCCTTCTTTCTTTGCGTGAACATTTGGGCGGTGTTATGCAAATCTTCCCACATAGTGAGGTAGATATGTGGGGGCGTGTTAGAACGAGCCGTTTTAGGTAGGTGTGGCTGACTCTGAACTTTTATAAAGAATATCTCTTCGGATTTGAGACTTTAGTCTTTGCAACTTTACAGATCTTCTTTATGCACCAAGAGCTTGTAACACTCCAAAGAGAAAGGAAAAATTGAAATCGCATCATATGACCCCTTTAATGCAGCTTCAAAGGGCTCCACACGATCCCAGCCGAGGAATAAGGGTCTTATCCAGTGAAATGATCGGTCGAAACGGTAGAAAATGACAGATCGTTTCACTGGATAAGACCCTTATTCCTCGGCTGGGATCATGTGAAGCCCTTTGAAGCTGCATTGAAACTACAATTTGGACCTTCAGCCCGCTGATCCCCATGGAAGTCCAGTATATGGAGAAAAATCCTGGAATGTTTTCCTCCAAAACCTTAATTTCTTTTTGACTGAAGAAAGAAAGACAGACATTTTGGATGAAACATGGGTGAGTAAATTATCAGGAAATTTTAATTTAAGTGAGGAAAACAAACAACATACCACCTAATAAAAACAGTTGAAGAGGAGATATATAACAAATAAACAGTTTTTCATGGTCATACCATCATTCAAAGAGAGTAATCTTTAAAAAAACAAAAAAAGTAACAAAAGCATCTGAAAATAATAATTCAACCATAATAACAATGGATTCCATTCATGCAAAAAGTCTCTGCCAACTGTCCACTTGCATGAGCCAGATGTCAACAGTGTCAACTTTAAATTCAAATCAGAAATAAATGAAACCTCTTCAAAAGGAAGTAACAGAGAAATAAAACAAATTATCAAATGTACCTGGTCCGAGGTTTTTAGTATAAGTGATCAAGTCCTCCATGGTTTCCACAACCTCTGCAACGGTCAGGTACTCCAGAATCCCTTTACACACCCGGATAATTTTACGCACCTTAAGAAGATACAAAAATACGAATTTTATCAGTATTTCCAGGGAATCAAACCTTTACATTGCTAGTGCCATGCTCTACCATTTGGGCTACAGGGATCCCAGTGGACTAATGTTTTATTTTGCAGGTCTCTGCCACAAACAGACAGACCCTCAAGATATAGTACCATAACATCATGCTTACTCAGTGCCCTGTGAACAACACAGCTCCTTGAGAAAGATGATAGCACACGGCATCATAGTATGGTAAGGGGCATAACATTTCCGTCACACACTTGAGCTATTCGGCCAATCACAACACACTGGATAGCTGGCCAATCAGAGCACACCTCGCTTTTCAGATCGATGAGCTTTGTAAAAATCGACGCGTTTCAGAAAGGCGGGGCATAGAGGAGCAACAATAATGTACAGTATGTGGAAAATAATGTTTTTTGAACCTTAAACCGCATAAACATTTCATTACACCAAATACACAAAATAATGTTCTTTTTAGCAGCATCATATGACCCCTTTAATAAAGCTCAGAGTTAGCTTTCAGCACAAACCGATGATCTAATATCTTGCCGGTAGATGAACATGCACACCACACAAACTGTGCTCTCTTGGAAATGTTTCTTTTTATTATACATAATAGAATAGGGTTTTTTATTATTATTGTATAATAGTAAGGCAGTCATTGGCACTAAATATGCATATGTTCTCACTCGTTAAAAGGAGCATTTTTGGTTTTAATACAAGCTCGTTTACACTGTGCTGCTGGGTTCATATCTGGTCTTGTGATGAGAAATCTTGTGACCCGCAGAAGCAGAAACTTCAAAAGTAACTCCCACTGATAGAAGACACATTGTGTGCAAGGTGGCTCACTCAGATCATGTGCTCACAGGATATGTGGAGCACGGCACATTAAAACCACAAGTTACAATGCATGATAAGGCACTATGTGTTTAATATCGTTAGGCCAGAAGAAAAGCCTTTTTTTGTAAAGATCCAAAGAATTCAAAGAACTGATTATTATTCAGCAGAAAGACAGAAATATTTTACAAATCCAATTTGTTTAATTCAATTTCAGACTATATGAGTATTTTACACAGGATCTTTCACGTGTCTAATGAGGTTCAAAAAGAAAGCCCACATGCAATATTCACATCCAACTGTCAAATAATCAACAGTACATAAATCACTCTTCACAAGGAAATTGCTTGGTTAAGATAACAATCTTGCTTTCAGTCAAAACCCTCTTTCAAAATGTAATATGACATTTCCCAGAGAAAAAGGTATGATATCTAATCTCATCAATGTACACACACAAAAAAAAATGTTAGGTTTGTCAGTTTCACAAAGCAGGGCTTTGGTGGAGAATATATTGTGTCACTGTCGACTGCCAGTTTCACATTAATAGCAAAGCATCTGAAAAATTGCCAAATTTTAAATAAAAAAAGATTACTGTGCACTTTACAATCACACATCGCCATCCAAACAGCACTAAATTTGAAAGTGAATATAAAAATGCCATGAAATGGTCGGGAGTTAAAAGAGGAATACCAAAGAGTAATATTTAAAACACTTCGCTTTTAATATTTATTTAAAACATTATGTCTTTCTATCACTGTGATCTATTTGTTCACAAAGCCAAGAAAATAAGGTTTTATTGTATGATTCCGAGTTTAATGTCAGTAAATGACTTCTGCAGGTGTACAATACTATTCAAAGGTTTGGGGTCAGTACGTTTTTTCAAAGAAATTCCTTATGCTCAACAAGGCTGCATTTATTTGATCAAAAATACAGTAAAAACAGTAATTTTGTGAAATATTTTTACAATTTAAAACAACTGTTTTCTATTTTAATAAAATATTTTTTTCTGCAATGCAAAGCTGAATTTTCAGCAGCCATTACTACAATTTTCAGTGTCACATGACTCTGATTTGCTGCTCAATAAACATTTTTTATTACTATTAATGCTGAAAACAGTTGCGGTGATTAATATTTTTGATGAGACCATAATAAATTTTTTCGTGATTCTTAGATGAATAGAAACAATGGAATAGCTTTTATTTGAAACAGCAATCTTTTGTAACATATACATTATAAATATCTTTACTGTCACTTTTGGTCAATTCAGTGCATTCTCGCTGAATACTGAGTTTCTTTTGAATGTGTATTAGGATTAGGCTACACTGTAAAAGACATGAACAAAACAAATCATTAATCTCAAATATTTTTATTAAAACATTAATCATCATCCTTGACTAGGGTTGCAAAAAGGTGGAAAATTTCCAGTAAATTTCAGAAATATTCCAGAAATTTTGGAAAGTTTCCGGAAATTTTCCACCCCTTTGCAACCCTATCCTTGACTTCATCATCAAGACAGTCCCCATTCCCATTCATACCTCTGCCTCGTCAAAGGTCAGAAGCAGGTCGGAAGTGCCTGACAAGATGCCCCGCGAGCCATCAATGAGGTAATCACGGGCCGGGACAGAGTAGGGGTCTGTCCTCAGCATATGAGCTGCTTCCACCAGCTTTGCACAGGCATTCTCCACCCTGAGAAACAAACAAAAAAAAACTAA